GCTAGCGCGGTCAAGAGTGTTGGCTCTCACTGAGAGATGACTACAAAAATGGACGCATCTGTTCATCTGGTTGTTTAACACGGCTGAAAATGATCGTCTATTAATGTTGTTCCTGCTCCTGTTGCGTTTTTTTATTAGATTAAAAAATGACTCCCATCCCGTGGGATTCCCGCGGGAATCACGTGACCCACGGGAATTCCCGAAAAATGTCATCCTCTAGTCTGGAGCTGCACTGAACATGACGCTGAAAAACTGCAGGCATGAGAAAGGCTGTGCTTTCATGGTATTTGAAGAATTAAGGTGTTTTATTATTTTTCATTTCATTTAGTTTGCTGATTTACGTCAAAGAAGGACCAGTACCATGGAAATGTGTTGAAATAAAACTTTTTTTTTGTGTGTGTGTGTGTGTGTGTGTGTGTGTGTGTGTGTGTGTGTGTGTGTGTGTTGGACTAAAACTATTTGAGTCCAGAGCTTATCTGCGGTTCTTTAGCAAGATTTATATCCTTTAAAGATCTCATTTATTTATTTGTCATTGTTCATGCGATATACTGTAAATCTGTCAGCTTAAATGAGAAGAAATGAACTCAACGACAGTTTCAGTAACTGTGACAGAGATCTCATCAGAATGATAGGACGGGTTAAAAAAAAACCATAAAAGTAACACTCAACATTTTTTATGTTTTCACTATACGTGGTTTACACATATAGATGTTTTTGTGGGTAAACACAGGAAGTAAAAAACCTGAACAGATGTGCAATACTGTGAGGTGATATGCCACAACCGAGCTGATGGAAAAAAAAAAAAACAGAAGGGAGAAGCAGTTCAGTAAAAACATGGCTCCATATCTGGTGAAGTTTGGGCACAGCGAACAGAAACACAATAACCTGGATTCATGTTATCAGCTGAAAACTGATAATAAATGGATTTTCTACTTTGAATAAAGAACATAAACATGTCAGTATTCGTTCTTGTTTGACAAAGGGCTTACTGACTTCTGTCACCTTGCTGAGTGATACCGTCCACAAACACTGAGCTGTGTGTCACAGTGAGGTTAAAAAGGTGTACTAGAAGGTACAGGGTTCACACAGGTTGTAAAAACTTGCCACCACAATATGCACACAGGCACCTCTCTGACTGAAAGATGTTTAACAGTTTATCAACGCATTTGGTGACAAGTACTGCAGTTACAGAGCTCAAGCATCTGCTGCTATGTAAAGGCCGATATAAATGCTCTATTGTACAAGACCTCTACAGATGTTTGAAACATTTTGCAGGTCAAACTGTGCAGACGCAAACAACCTTAATAAGATTTAGACTGAAGCTACTGTGCGTTACAAACCAAGCTGTATGTAGAGATCTTTACACAGTGTTGTTTCAACCAAAAGTCCCAGCACCTCGAACATGTGCCTCTTAATTTTTTGTAATTTTTTGTTGTTGATTAGTTTTGATTTAACATTAAGAAGTCTGAGGAATGGACTGAACCGCCAACCCTTCGACTAAAAAAACCCTGACCCTACCCCTTAACCAGGGACTGCCAGGCAAATGTTTTCCAAAGGAGCTGCTACAAACTCCAGAATGTGCACAGTGCTAATAAAGTGTATCAACAGATGTTTAACCAAAGCAATAAAATAAATAAAAGAAAAGGTATAAAACTGTATTTGATTAGCCCTCAAATGGGATTATTTTTTAGCAACTTCACTGAGTTTTCATTCTGTATTTTGTTGATAGCTCTGAGCTAAATGGATCACATGATAATCTCTTGTATTCATAAAGAAGGAAGGAAGGAACACTCAACTGTGACCTTAATGGAGGCCAGGCGATGACCATCAGAACCATTTTCAGTCTACGGTTTTAGTTTATTCATTGTACTCACTCGTTCCTTTCAAAAACAAACAAAAAAAAGAAAGAAAAAACAAATATTCAAGGTAATTTTAAAAAATTTTCAGTAATGGCCCTCCTCTTATGTGAGGAGAGGTGGATGGCACCCTAGCACCCTCTATTGATTGGTCAACTCTGCTCTTTACCACAGCCACCCTGTATGCGAAGGCATTTTAATTCCATGGGTCCTTCCTTACAGCAGATCATGGAAGTTGTTGTCAGTGGGAGATGTCAGTGTTCTGAAATACTGAGACGCAGTACTAATTTTTCTGCTGGGTAAAGGCTACAGCAAGAAAAAAGAAGTTCTTAGAGAACTGGACTGAGCTGGCGTTGAACACTTGAAATCAGTATTTTACAGTATAATTGTACGCCAAGGAAGGTGGAGGCTATTCCAAATAACATGTATCCACTATTTCACAACACTGTGATGGACCAATAAGCTAATGGTAGTGGACTGCTTGTCTCACTTCGATGCAGGACAGAAAGATTCAGAAGATCTTTGGTACCCACAGCCATCAGACTTTCCAACTTGAAGGCAGATAGAGGGAGAATGTTGCAAACTATGTCTTTTTGTGTGATCTTAAATACCCTGAGATATAAAATACACTGACTTTTGCACTTTTTAAAAGGTTAACAAACAAGTTACTCAACTTTGACTGAAAACAAGATTCGTCTTTGTTTGGGCTAGCTGTTTTACTGACTGTTGTCCCTGCACGCCATGAATATCCTGTCAGTCAGTGAGGCAGGAAACAGACAGCCAGCGGGTTGTCTGGCTGGCTCTACCAGGCCTGCAGGGGTCAAGCCTGTCAGGTGGGGGTCAGGCAGGTGAAGCAGATAGTGAAACAAAGGAACACCACCAACTCCCCACCCCCCACCTCCTCTTTCCCCATCCCGTCTGCCTTCCCTTCCCTTCAGAACAATCACCACCAACAGGAACAGGAAGTGATGTCGAGAGGAGGTTGATCTAACCAGGGCAGTTCCTTTGGCCGGGTCAGACGAGGAAGGAGAAGGTAGGAACGAGGGGCATGGAAATGAGAAAAAAAAACAGCAGTCACGTACAGACAGTGGTGACATCGTATCCTGCATGTGTGTGTGTGTGTGTGTGTGTGTGTGTATGTGTGTGTGTCCAGCTTTCCTATTTATAGACCAGTTCAGTGGAGTCTTATAGACCTGTGGTATACAGTAACATGCACTCAGGAAAACTGTGATTTTCTTCATGAAGTGAAGTGAAAATACTGTATGTCCCACATCATCAAAATAAAAGAGAGGTTGGGAGACTGTGTATGAAGTTGAACACGTACTTTAGAAGACAAAATCCCTGAATTCTTATACCCTTCAAAACTTTCTTCACATTTGAACCGTTAGCTCACACAGTCTCTCACAGAGTGCTGAACCTCCACCCATCGTTACTCTGTAGACATTTAACTAAGTTCTATTGATTTATTAGCTGAAGGTAGACATCTTGTATGCATTGCATCATCCACTTTCGTGGCAATGTTGTGTGTATTGTCCCTGTTAAAAAAAAAAAAAAACATTAAATAAATGTAGTGCAAGATTCAGCTGGACGGACACGTGTATGAAAAACGATTTTTCGAACAACACACAAGCGTACTGAGGGACTCTATGCTACTCATCACAACTATAAGCACAAAGACAAGAAATAATCAGTCATATCTCACCCCTGCATGGCATCCACCATCGCTGAGCTGCTCACAACCTGGAACATTTAGAAATCACATGTTGCGCTTTGAATTGTCCCTTTTACTAGTTTCAGTTCAAAGTCACACACTGCATGTCACGTTGCTGTATTTTGTCGCAGATGCTATTCTGACTAAAGTAGGCATTTGTTTACGAAAGACATGTTTTATTGTGTGCTTCATTTTACACTGGTGCATGTGTGTGTGTTGATATGGTGAAACAAAGGGGGAACATATGATTTATTCAAAGGGGGGTCCTGCTTAAAAAGTTATGGATCCACGGCCCCCTCATCTATCAAAGTGGACAAATTATAATTAAAAAAAAACATACTTTCAATAGTTTTCAACATGTGAAGCTAATTTTAATGACCAAAACAGACTTCCAGAATGTGAACATGTTTTATTCTAATATAAAAATAGGTCTTTTAATATAAAAGAATATTCCAGTGAGTTTTTATGGCTTCTGAAGACTGCCACATGTGAACACTAACACTTGAAGAACTTCTCTTTTTTTTACTTCACTTTTCTCCTTACCAGGATGCTGCCCCTTGGTAAGTATTTTTTGTTCAGAACACACTGGAAAAAGTGTAGCAATCATGAGCCACATTGTAAACTTAATCACAAAAGCAGTAGTATTCCTTTGAATTGTTTTTTTTATTTTGCCTGCTATATGCCCTCTCTGCTTTTCTAGCTAAATTTCATCATTAAAATCAATTCCCTGCCCTGACAGATATCAGAAGATGCCCTCATGACCTCACCATTGAACAGAGACGTGACAGTAGTTTGACACACCGCACTCATATGTGCATGTTAACACTGGCCCCCTCATTGTTATTTTGACTCCAGGGCCTCAGTGGCAGCCAACTAGAGTGCTGGTGTCTGCAGCGTCTCCCCTCTCCCTCAGTCTTCCTTGAGAATGTGAGCAGGCATGTGGCATTGAGAGTCAGCAACCCATTCCTGCTCTCATAGCACAAAGACAAGCATGTGGCACTTGACAGCGATGCACAGTGATGGACGCACGAAATTGCAGCCCAGCCTTTTAAGATGTGGCCGAGGGGTCCCTGCTCTGAAAGGTGACACCCTGGCCTGTGCCACCGAGGCTCCTTGGGTCTTTTCTTTCCCCCCACTTGCGGAATCTTGTCTGTCCTCGGCTACTAATTCCCGTCACACTTTCTCTCATGAGCTTTGGGACAAGCCTGTGTTGTATGTTATTAATACTATTGTTAACTGCACACTCAAGGCTGGTCTGCCTGACCCAACTCATCATGTTACAGGTTGTGCACAACAGAGAAACAGCCAATCCTGCTTTATATAAAACTATCTATATATATCAGAGGTAATACTTTGGCCAATTATGGTTATATGCAGACGATCATTAAGTATATAGCTGAATGGTTGTGTTTTGGCTGTGATTGCTTCTTATTTTGAGGGCTGGGGTTTAGATACAACAAGAGAGGTTAGTTTCCTTTCAACTTTAAATAATGATAATTTAAAATATATGATTATACATGATGATTGGAGTCTGATTTTTGATAATTCTGGTTGTTCAGACAATCTGTTAATTCTATTAACAGTAGTGTGGTCTTGCACAAGTTGTCCCTGTGCATCATGTATGTTTTCTATTAGATGGCACCATCTAGAGGCCAAAATTATACAACTTTTTTTTTTGTAATAAATTTGACTTCGCCTTAACCTGAAAATTTGTATTCTCATGGAAGTAATTTGTCTTCATTTTAACTCCTGCTTTCAAACTTATCTAATCGTGAAGGTCGGCTAATATCTACTTCAGTCTGTAAGAAGTGGCCCCTTGACTGACTTTCTCAAGGAAGAAAGCAGCATTAAAAGAAGTGCACAAGGCCACACACTAGATAGAGCAATAGAAATTCTAGATAAAACACTTTGATAGTAAATACGTTGAACAAGCTCCACAATTTTCAGCAGCCATTATCACATTTTAGCCTTTTTAAGTTATGATTAAAGATGGAGATGGAGCCTTAACTTTCCTTGTTCTACCCTCACAACGTGTGGGTCATGTGAGTGAAGACGCTCCTGTGAAGCATAAAAGGTAGACCTGTGATCTTATATTTTTCCATATAAAAGGTCACACCATGCTTTCCTCTTTGTTTTCCAGCTGGTCACTTTTCCTGATCAGTCTCTACTGACCACCTCTATTTTTCTTTTGTTCACTTGCAAACCTGAAAATATGAGTAATGACCATCTTCCATGAAATGCAGGTCTTGTGAAAGCAAGTGATATTGACATTTAATCAAGTGACAATCTCAGTACATAAAAAGCACATACACTCACACAGTGTTTACAAAAAAATATTAACGCTATTGTTTGCTGCTGTTGCTGCTAATAAAAAAGAGGACTTTCTCCAATCACTTGCATATTATAATAAATGCATGCATATGTGCTTTTTTTTTGGCATGCTATATTATTAAGACAGTAATGTTAACACTCATTCTGTTGGTTTGCAGGGTTGCACAACATCTTGAAATATATGCAGATACACTAGTCAGAGACAAAATTATGATTGCCTTGATGAAGTGATCTGAAATATGAAAAATGGCTCATCATACCCCACTCTCCCCTACGAACAGAAAACTGTTTGTAGGTGCAGTTACATCCTCCTCCCTGGTGGGGCGCTGTTAAAATTACATGAGGTATTTATTTCTTCCGGCCCTGCATGCGGAAGAAAAACCCGCCATTGAAGCTTTCTCTCAACGTGAGCGTTTCGTCTAAGAGCACCCTTTTTGAAAAGGTGCAATTTTTTTCCACTGAATATCTACAACTGGGATAAGTTTTGGAGAAATGGCGTACCGAGGACAAGGACAGAAGGTCCAGAAGGTTATGGTGCAACCCATTGTATCCTTTGTGTTCAAAGAAGACAGACTCGTCTGCGGGCTACATGAACTTAGCATGGAGGCTAACCCTCTCATTTAGTCTCATTATTCCGTTAGGTACAGAGTTTACAGGCTGAGAGAAAGGACCGCGCTTCGTTAGAGTGTGTACAGAGATAAACTAAGTCTGCTTTGAAGAATCAGTGAGGTGCTTTACAAAGGTTAGATTGTCCGCTGAGGTTTTCTACGGCAGGATAACAGGGTATAAATGCTAACTTCATGCTGCCGAGTACGGTTCATGACAGTGTCTGGTTTAGTGAGGTTTACTCTTCATCCGTCTGCTTCTGTCAGCAGAAGAAGGTTAAAAGGCGTTAATATCCCGTTATCTTTGTCAAAATTCATTCTGGCTTTTCAGTGTAGTTTAACAGCTTATTTTGAAGAATCTCTGAATAAAATTAATCAGTGGTTTGTGTTAAACTAGTAAATGTGAGCCAGCTTTTATATATAAAAAATATGTTGTGGTGTCTCTTTAAAAAAGTTGATTTCCTTGACTTTGCACCAGAACCTAATTTTCAGGTATCTACAAAATGTAAGTATAACTTTTGACTTTGACTTTGAGTTGTTGACTATCATGTACGGTGGTCAAGAACAGCCACTGCTGCAAATAAAAAAGATTGCCAAAAAAAAAAAACAACTACAGAGGTTAGCAATGCAAAATCAATTAACAGAAGCTCACTGCAAATAAAAAAGAAACAGTGCAGATTAAAAAAAAGCCACAACAGAAGTTCATGATGCAAAAGAAAAAAAGTGGTGATGCAAAAAAAAAAAAAAAGTTATTGTGAAAATAAAAGGATCCTGGTGTAGTGTTCAATTCAGTTCAACTTTATATCGACTCAGGCACAATGTAACCAAATGACATATTGAAAAGCACACAAAGTGAAATTAAACAGTAACCTTTCCACTTACTTCTTTGCTCGTCTTCTCGCAGTCGTCTTCTGTGTCTAGATTGTAAAACACCAGTGCATCACCATTATTGGTCCCTGGCAGCTCACTTTATTTTCGCCATCGCCACTTTCTTTTTTTTGGGCGTCATGAACTTCCATTGTGTCCTTTTTTTTTATCTGCAGTTTCTTTTTTTATTTGCAGCAGTGGCTGTTCTCAGTCACCATAGGCAAGCACAAGATAGAGATTTTTGCCAATGTTCTATGCAATTACATTTCTAAGCTTATTTTGGCTGATTTCAACTCCTTAATGCATCTTGTTGTTGTTATAAAGAACATCAAGTCTCTCTGGTTCTAGACATAAATTTGAAGTTTTGTTGCAAGGGTCTGTTTCAGAAATAAACATCTGATTTTACAGACATTAGTAAATGTGTCCCCTGTTGTTTCAAAATACTTTCATACAGCTGACATGTTGATTTCCAGCTTGTTGATGTTCAAACCATCATTACAGACATAGTGTGTCACTTCTTCAGCTGGACATATTGGCAGAAATTTCACATCTGTTGACGCTGATAATTGACATTTCAATCCAGTATCTGCCAATACCAGTATTATGATATTGTGCATCCTGAGTTGACTATGGGCTTTTTTTGGGAGGTGGAAAAATAAGATGTTGGTCTCATTCCTTGTCCACTTCTTTCACAGCGATCACGGATCCAAGTGTGGCTGTATGAACAGGTGAACATGCGGATAGAGGGCTGCATCATTGTAAGTAACCTTTTTATTTGTTCCTGGGATCCGTTGTTAAAAAAGCTGATTTATTATTTGTGTTAAGTCTGTTTTGCCTGTCAGGAGGGTAACCGAGTTTTCCATTTCTAAGAGAGATAACTCAAACCTGCTTCAGAGAGAGACGTGACTCAAGCTAAGCTAACCTAACATGGTCAGGAACAGGTTTTCTCCAATGAACCCTGAGTTTCTAGCTCTGCTCTCTCTTAGAGAGCCTAGACCACTGTTTACATTTCTGCTTTCATTCATTGAAACAGTGTTCAGCGTAAGCCAAAATAAAGATGTAGATGAATGTCTCAAATGTAGGTGTTCGGTGTACTCTGTTAGGCGTAATAGCCTATAAAATGAAAGCCATGCCAGGTCAAGAAGTCAAGCAGGAAGAGCTACGTACCAACCTATGTGCTGTATTTATAACTCCAGGACACTGATTAATCTGTGTTCACGGTGGGATAAGATTGGCTAGTAAGGAGGTAAAGACAGTAACATTGTCAGATTGCATTCTTATCAATGTGCTCAAACCTTGGCTGTGACTTGACAATGATTTAAGACAGTGTTTGATGTCAAAGGGGGATACTAAATTACCATTCCTAATTACAAATAGAGAAATGCCAGGTGCTACTTGATCAAAAAGTGTCACACAAAGTGGCTGTGAACTTCTAACCTCTTCGCACCTTATGGACTGATCTAACCTCACGTGAGACATGTGGAGACTAACTTTAAGCCATGTTTTGTTGTCTTAGGGATTTGATGAGTACATGAACCTGGTTCTAGATGATGCTGAGGAGGTCCACATGAAGACTAAGAACAGAAAGCCACTGGGTAAGAGCACCTTATTTTGGAAAGATTTTCCTTGAGAGCATTTTGTTCATTTGTTATGCTTTGTATAAAGATATATTTAACAGAATGATTAGCTAAAGAATCTTCAGCATCAGGTTCACTGACAGTTCTCCTGTGTATTCTTAAAAAGTCTATTCTTCAGTGTATTGTATTTGTTAGGGTTACATTTTGGATGGCACAAATGTCTGAATATTGAAAAAAATTTATGATTTGCTGGTATCATGATTTTTTAAATTGATCGTTTCTGCGGGATTGTTTGTTCACAAGACAATTTTTGGCGTTTATGTTAGGGTATTACATAATTAAATTATCAAGGCACTCAAAAATCCAGAAGAGAGGAGAAAATATGAAACATGAGTTTAAGGAAATTTAGCTTCAAATAAAAAATACCTGAATGGTTGGCAGGGACACCCATTCATGCTCACAGAACCACTCACAAGGTACGCAAACAGGTTTAAAATTCGGTATATAACTGTGTTTATTTCTGTTTGTTCTGCTATGCAACAACATTATTTATTTTGCCTTGATTGGATCCCAAATGGCCTAAAAGTCCTAATTTGATTTGGAAAGCTAACAGAAACCCTGTCAGAGCAAGTCAGGATCATTAACCATGCTGCAAATCTGGAATTTAGTAGTTTGGTTTGAAGTATTATCACATATCCTGATTGAAGATTTGTTCCTGAGTAATATAGCTACCAGGCTACAGGATTTCTGTTATTGTAGTTGTTTTGAAAAGCTCAAATCATGGAGTCACTTTTTTATTCAACCTTTGGTGTGTATTCGCCAATGTTTACAGTGTGTATGTTGTGATACTGGAGTACTGCCATCTGTTGACACTCCATCTGAAAGTGAACTGACACTGAGTGTCTCTTTCCATCTGTCCTCTTGCTGTTCTGATCCATTGTCTCTCATGTTTTCCCTTCTGTCCCCCAGGGAGGATCATGTTGAAAGGAGACAACATCACCTTGCTTCAGAGTGTGTCTAACTAGGACGATGGAGACCAACAAATCATCCTCCTCATTTTTAGTTTTTTTTTTTTTTTTTTTGCAAGTGTCTTTACGTAGGTTCACGTTTATTTTACATTAATATTGTAATTGAGTCTTTCTACCAGTTCTACGGTTTGGAAATAAAGTTGTTTTTCCTTTCTTACATCTGTAGTTCTTTTCAAGATTTCAGTACCTTTTTTTTCCACCCACAGCCGCTTGCACAATTATTTGGGTCACTGTGCCGCATTGCCATCTAGTGGCAGACAACTCGGATGCATTCTACCTTTAATGTAGGTCAAACTAAAGCTTCAAAAACAGTGCAGCAGAAGCACATAAAAGCATCCAAAATGCTATCACCAAACATTCTTGTTGTTTCCCTGTTTCTAGTATTATTATGTGAAGTGTTTTAAAGCAAGCTGCACAAGTTAAATGGTTAAAACTACAACTGAGGTATAAAAAGGCAGAAAAATTCAACACAGTGATGAGTGAATTTTAGGTAGTTTTTTAGTACACTAAATTGCCAGTGTGTCTAAGTGGAATTTTTGGAACAATCTAGAAACGAACACAATACCCCTGTATTAGTTTCATTTATAGTGATTAAGATTTATGTATCTTTTTAGAGTCGGGATGACATTTCTTTGGACATAGCTCTAATAAACCGTGTGTCCAGTGTTTTTATGAATGGGTTCTGGTGTGAGCAGAAAGTGTGTTCTTGGAGAAAGAGTGTGAGGTTGGAGCGAAATCGATTAACGTAATTACGTAGTAGTTGAGTACGCATGCAACGTGTCCCTGTTCTGTTGACTGGGAAGCCCCTAGCGCGAAGCTGCCAACGCCCGGCGTAGAGACACAAACAGTGGAAACGGTACGGAAAAAAGAACTTTTTTGTAACTAATGTGATAATACTGTGGTCGGTTTTATGTTTTGATATTCTCGATAGCATCCGTGTTAATGATCTGTCATACGTTTGTTTTATTTGTAGTATTAGGCGTCCCGTTGAGCCACCGCATAAGCTCAACCAGCTAGCTAGCAATTTGCAAGGTTAGCACCGAGCAGAGCAAGTAGACCACTCAAACTAAACCCCTTAGAGCGCAGAATAACCCACAAGTAAACTCGAGGTCATTCATTATCTCTGGATTATGTTCGCAAGAATTCTCTCGATCTTCAAAGAGTGTAAGTCAAAAAAAGCATTTCTGTCAAACTGAAGATGGATACAAGCGAGCGGTTAGCTTTTCGGCGAACTGTATAAAAGGCATAATGTTACCGTTCACAAATATGAGGTACTTTTTAACGCGAAGGGGGCTTAAAATTTGACTTATTTGGTGTTCTGGGAAAGTCTGATAATGCGGATTAGGCGAAAATATGAAGGACATAATTGGTTGGAAAAATACGGGTAGTTGTACAAGCCGGCAGGAAATTAGGCCAGTTTGAGGCCGGGGATGTGTCTGAAATTCAGCAGCAGCAGCTATGGCTAATGGCTGAAAGCTAACGGCTGTAGGTATCAGTGGTGGTCATCTCATAGTGTTATCTTCATGTGTTTATAAAAGATTGGACGTGAAAGATAATGGAAACAACGACGCGGAAATGACTATCATTTGCTTCAAAGCCGGCACTTTCAAAGGGAGCCGAACACCGTTAAAAAGCTGCTGATACAGGCTTCAGTTTGAGGTTTTCTGTGTGAAGTTGACTACACTCTTGAAGGAATGTGCAGGTTAAATCTGTCTTTTTGCGCAAAATGAGAGTCTCTACCGTCTACAATGTGCCTTTTGATTATATTATTGTATGCACTGCTGAACTTTCAAAACATTTGTAATGGTGAGCCCCATATATTATGAGGACACAGCATATCACACTGAGTTGAAGATGTTATCAGTACTAGTCTTTAAGCTGGCTGGCCCTCAGAGTGCTTGTTGGCCTACAAACACAAATGTGTGGATTAAGTCTGGCAGCACTATTGTCGCTGCAGCAAACCCCACTTACCCATGGCCGTCAGCTTACTGGACTATTCAGTGTAGCATCTGGCATTTATGTCAGTATGTAGAAAACAGAGAAGAGTCATTGATCATGCACAGCCTCATATTGCTTTAGGGCATTATGTCATTTTGTTTCGTATACAAATGTTCTTGTGAACATGACATTTATATAGAATGGACGCCGTCTGCCTCCTCGCTGGGTGAAGCCACTATGAGAACAGCACCCTCTGGTGACGGGCTGCAGTATAGGTCATAAATCCCGCCTCCTTCAGCAGCAAGAAGCGAGAAGACTGACACAACAGCAGACTGACTGTTTTTCAGCTCTGATTAGACAGTAGTGTTGAGATGGCTGTCTGTCATGATAGCATGTACTGAGTCGGGGTTAGTACCAGATAAACACATTAAACTATAATTCATAAACGTAAGGTAACAACCGAGACCTAATGGTGATATGACAGCAACACGATTGAGTTTGAGGCAGTGAAAATACATATGGTGTGTTGTATCTGAACAGGTTAGCTTACGAGCTAAAGTTACTTAGCACAGATGAACGTTAAAACAAAGACGTTTAGCAAACTGTTAAAACACACAAACCATCGTCATATGAGAAATCCGACGCTATGACTCTCCACAAGTTGTCCTTCAGGTCAATATCTTTGTAATGTTTGTGTCTTCTTCATCAAAAAGCACTCTGTTCACCGACATGTAAACAATCAGCCGGTCGGCCATGTTGGATATACCGGTTAATCTGACGCCGCAACAACATGCAATCTGATTGGTCAGTAGTGGACACACAGTATGCGAAACTTTAGAAAAATCGACCGTGATCCGAAAAAATAAATGACACAATATCGCAGGACGGGAAAACGTTGCTGATGTGTACACTTGTATTGACAGGATATTGGTCCGTCCGAAATAATCGCACGACAAAAACACTCCCGGTGTGAAAGGACCTTTAAACTGTATTTAGCAGAACAGATTTGGAAGAAATTGAGTATGATATTCATAAGCATGTGTGAATTATTGTACTCATCAGAGTACATAAAAAATCAATTTAGTTGAAGTCAACTTCTGTTGTGCTTTCTACATCAACAAAGGGAGCAGGGCCTCATTCACAGTGGTTGTTCAAGATGGTAGAAGTGAAACAATTGGAGGACCATACTCAGCATGCTACACATACTTGTCTTCCTCTAAGGCAGTGGTTCTCAAGTCCAGTCCTTGAGGCCCACTGTCCTGCATGTTTTGGATGTTTCCCTGCTCCAACACACCTGATTCAAATGATCAGCTCGTTATCAAGCTCTAGAATGGCTTAATAATGAGCTAATCATTTGAATCAGGTGTGGTTCTGGACTTGAGAGCCACTGCTCTAAGGCCATCATTGCTTCTCTGACAGGAGGGGTGAGCAGGGGAGCATTTCAGTGGAGAACCTGAATACTAGATGTCAATTCCATACCTGTTTCCCTGACATATTGGGCCTTTTAAGTTCTGTCTAGTTCTGGCTTGGCTCAAATACTCTGGCGAGGTTGTGTTCATTGTTGGCACACGAACTATGGCACTCCTTTCTTTGAAAACTTTGAGCTTTTGTAATTCCTCAATCTATAGGACAATACCTTGTTTTACTCTCTCATATCAGTTTTTTCTCTTGGCAGCAATGTTAAGTCTATAACACTCCTGTCATTAACCAGGTACCTCTTCATACAACAAAACTGTCAGCTTGATAACATGACAGCATTTAGAAAATTTGTGCACCAAACCCTAGTTTGTCTTGATTAAAGAGGGACCTTAAAGGTACACTTTGAACCTTTTCTTGGTCAATTGTCAAACGTTATCAAGACATTTTTTTTCTAAATTTTCCCAGGACTATTCCAAATTCAATCAAACAATTTGAATGCAAAAATACTCAGAAATGCAATGTTGCTCTTAGTTTTTTCATGATATGTCCTCTAGCATCAGAAAAATGTCATATGAACACGTCGACAACAAGAAAAACATGATTTTCATCAGAGTGGGTCTTTAAGTTGGCAAAATATACATTGAAATTGTCACAGTTATGTCATTCTCAAAGCATGGGCTGGCCTGTCAACAAAAACAGACCTCATAAATACGAATCCAGTCCTTTCCTTTTCAAGGAACAGCTTCAGTGGGGAAAAACAAAACAACAACAAAAAAACATCTCAAAGGATTGCAAGAAAGACGTCCTCCTGTGTTAAAGCATGTTCACTGTAACATTTGGTGCATTAAGTTTTACCTCTTCTGCTTTCCTCAATGACAACCCCACCCCCACCCAATGGTGCAGAGCTCTGCAGTGGCACTGACATACTGTACTGTATGGAGGAGAAACACTGGAAATACTGTGGTTGAAAATACTATCTACATTGTCTTTAAATGTGTTTGAGCGCTGTACATTTTTGCAGAAAATCAAGGTCAAAACATATTCTTTTTCTTCTAGACCATCAGTCTATCAGTCAAAGACATTTTGTTTAACAACAGCAGACACAACAAAGACAGTTGTAGGTCATTTGAAGAAAAGAAGTATTTGCCTTTACTGCAGAAATTGATGTGAGTGGTTTGTCGAGTTTTTAGCGATAAGTATTAATAGATAGATTAATTGGGTCATTGCTTGATTAGATTTTTGTGCTTTTGCAGGTATTTTTTCAGGTTGCACTTAAAAGATCAGTTGTGTTTAAATGACTTGTCACTGGTGCAGATGGCATGGAAGATTTGAATACCATACTTTGATATTGAACGGTTTTGTTGGTATGCAGTTTGTTTGTAGACCAGCGCAGAAACGGGATTGAGCTGTCTTTATTGTGGTTTAATCATGACAACTATATACTTAGAATGGGTTTTCTTTTATTTAGATTTCTATTTTTTTCTTTTGTTCTGTGCGCCTTCAAGTCAGAATTGTGACCCCACTTAGAGGCCATCAGCTCATGCTTTTTTTGAGCTTATTTACTGTAATACTGCAGAGAGTATTTCCTTTTTGTTTCCTGGAAGTCCAAATTCCATATTCACTCTACCAATAAGCCCAAAGCAACCCAACTTTATTTCATTTCAACTAGGGCTGCAACTAATGACTATTTTAACAATCAATTAATCGGTCTACTATTTTTTGATTAATCAATGAATCTGATACAAAACACATTTTTAATTTCCACCTCAAAAACTTTTGTGAAGTTAGCATGTGGTTTTTTTGGGGTTTTTTTTGTTCTGCATGATATGCTCCCACACTGTTTAGGGGCTTGGGTCGAACTGTCTTCACTGCGTCTGCCATTTGTAGAATTTACTTAATTTCTGTAAAAACTGCCCCTGCCTCGCTCTGTTCGACTCACTCTGCAGGTCAAGATTTTAAACTTTATTTAGGTCAAAGCTCTGCAGGTAAAGTTAACAGCTGGCTATGCATCACGGCAAGTGACCCAAGCGACACAACGAATCAATATTGAAATTCTTTGCCAACACTTTTAATAATCGACTTGTGGATTTTATTGATTTGTTGTTGAAGCTCTAATTTTAAGGACTTGTGCTATACAGAGCTGGAGTTGTGTACTTCTGCACAGAACATTTTTACTACTTGCTCATTCAGGATTCTTTGATCTGTTAAAAAATGTAGTATCTCTGTAGTGTAAAACTCGGTGTAGTGTGATATAATTGTTAGTCTGTCTCTGGGAAATAACATGGAAATGAGTCAAACTTCTTGGGTATTTTTCCTTTCAGTCCACATTGTTCCTCCACCCAAACATTCTGACTTGTGTGGACTCAGAATGTGAGTCTGTGTTTTCTTTGAATGACAAATGGGTCTCCAGCTGTCCCTACGTGTCAGATGATCCTCCCATCTCTGAAATGATTAGACTTCTTTGGATTTCTTGTAAATGGTGAAACAGTGAGTGTGTGGTCCATTAGGGAGGTTTGGTTATTTGGCAGTAACCATGCAGAGTTACTTTTCCATCAACGTCCCCCTGTCAGGTATATAACGGCATTCGTACCTGAGGCATGGATCACCTAAATTGTCCGAATTGGGTCAGGCACAAATTTACAGTTATGGAGTAAACTGCTTCAACCAACAATTTATCATCAAATTGCAGGTGCTGCTTTTTTCAAAGTTTCCCCTCAGAGAGGGGTGTGTGTGTCTGTTTCACTTGGCTTTAGTTTTGCTTGGAGAAAATTGACACTTTTGTCTGAAGTGTATTTCACTAACTAATGAGGTTTGCTGTCTTTTTTTGTTTTTGTTACAGATTTTGAATGACTAGTGAGGACTGTGAAAAGCAGCTATGCAGACCATCAAGTGTGTTGTAGTTGGGGACGGTGCTGTGGGTAAAACATGCCTGCTCATCTCTTACACCACAAACAAATTTCCATCGGAATATGTACCCACGGTAAGTATGTGTTGCAATCGTAGAGGTAGAGGAGTCTGTGTCATAATTTAACATAATCCTGTGTGGGTGATGAGTAAGGAGATTTATTAGCTTGAGTGAAGATGATACTGCACATGTAGCCATTTTAAAAAAATTGTTTAAATTCCATCTGATGGTCCTGGAGTTAATGCTTCATTATTATATAATCTGATGCGCTTTATTACTTTAAGAGTATTGTTGTTGAACTTTAAAGTATTGCTCAAATGTCCTGTAATTCTCAAACAACTGAAGTTGTCTCAACCAGAACCTTCAGGATCTCACTTGTCAGTTCAGCAGGAGTCATGTTGTATTGAATCCTTACACAGAATGTCTGACATGAAATGTCCTGTTTTCCTCAGGTGTTTGATAACTATGCTGTAACTGTAATGATTGGAGGGGAGCCTTACACCCTGGGCTTGTTTGACACAGCAGGTATGTCTTCATCTCTACCCGTGCTTTAGTTTATTCCTGTGACGTAACTCTAAAATGAGTTTAAACGTGTTAATGTGTTGTTTCTCCAGGTCAGGAAGACTACGACAGGTTACGACCCCTGAGTTATCCCCAGACAGATGTCTTCCTCGTTTGTTTCTCTGTCGTGTCCCCCTCCTCCTTCGAAAACGTCAAAGAAAAGGCAAGTTTTGAAACTCCTCTCTCTCATTTCTCTGACATTCTCCTGAAAACAGTAAATGAATGTGTCTTGTTGAATGTTTCTTGAATGATTGTTTTTTGTTGTGTTTTTTTACGTGTACAGTGGGTTCCAGAGATCACCCACCACTGTCCAAAGACCCCCTTCCTTCTAGTCGGGACTCAGATTGACTTGCGGGATGACCCATCTACTATAGAGAAGCTGGCCAAGAACAAGCAAAAGCCCATCACCCCAGAAACAGCTGAGAAGTTGGCGAGAGACCTCAAGGCTGTGAAATATGTGGAGTGTTCAGCCCTCACACAGGTAATACACGTATATTTAATTATGACACCACACACTTACATCACATTAATTTACACCGCAATGGCAAAAACTAAGAAAAAGGAGGAAAGAGGAACATGTCTGCACCCCCCCAGACTGTGCACACTATGGTCAGTTAACTCTTGATCTGCATGTGTATTCGGTATGGTCTATGTTCTTACTCACAAGCTAAGTTGGGTTGATGATAATGCGTAATCAGATGCTTTTAGTCGATGATAAAAATGTCGACTTTGAGCAAAGTGTGTAATATTGCGCTGTCTGCCTGTTGATATGTAGGTTGTAGTAAAGTGAGCAGTGAAGGTTTTGTGTAGCAGAATTTTCAGCATGTCAGGGTGAACCTTGGGTCTTGTACTGTGATCGGTATTCCCCGTTAAGTGCGATAATTGTGCTGATGCATCATGCACAGTTGAATGATAAATACGGCCTTGAATAAATACTCAGTTAGGGCTGGGCAATATGACCTAACAATAACGTCTATGATTCTTTCACACCACCGAATTCAACTTACTATTTTTCTGTTGGTTCTTTCTTTAAACAGTGCTAACAACAATAAGTGATTTTCGTTTGTGACTTAGGTTTGCGTCAGCCTCAGTTAAAGGGATATTCCAGCGTAAATTTAAGTTATGGTCAAAGACGCTGTAACACCGAGTTAGACACCCCCTCGAAAGATGAATGTTGCTGACTGCTTGCTTCTGTAGTTGTACCAACTTTAGCAACAACCGCACGATAGCCCTGATGAGTCGATCACCGAGTGCAGCGGAGTTTCGCAGCTCAAGGAAGAACATTTATGATCATTACTACGTGGAAATGCAGTCAAACTGAGACGCTAAGGCAGAAGAACTACCGCATCTGCAGAGCAAAATTATTATTATGATGATTATTACTTCATGGAAATGATCCACTGCACTCGGTGATCGACTTGTCGGGGCTCCCCCCACAAACAAGCGGCTGCAGGAGGAGAGTGGGTGATTTGTGTTTGGTGTCGTTGCTAAAGAAATCAGACAAAGTTAAAAAGATGTTAGCACTATGGCTGGGACCCTATATGTACTGTTGATGAAGTTAGGTGCTGTTCTGAGCATTATTTGTGGCTATAGAGTGGCTTTTTGGTTGAGGTTTGCGTGTGGAGATGTAGACCGCTGTGTATTGCTGTCATGTGGTCATTGGAGTCATTTATAACCAGCACATCACAAAATTAGTTGACAGTTGTTTGTCCTTAAATGTATGATGACAAGCTCCTGGAGGTGAAAAGGCTTTTATGAAGTGGTGGTGTGAGACTAGTCTTGTTCACGTGTACCCAGCATGCTTTGGGAGTAAATATGAATAAAAAAAAGAACTAAAACCAAAAGTGTGTCTTCTACTCTGAACTTTACAGCATTTTTCTTAAAATGATCCAATCCAAGAATACTTATTACAGCAGCTGTGCGTCATGTCCCTTTGTTAATTTACACAGTCTAGTTTGAAGTTTATTCCACTAATGCAGGTTTCTACTGGCTGTTGTGGTCTCGTGCATCTCACAGTGAGACACATTTCTCCCACTCGGCTGCGTGTCTCTGCTGAAGATGTTTAATGACTTTGGTCGTGCTGCTGCTACCTTCAGCTTCAGCAACCTTTAAAGAAAGTTAGCAGCAGACTGTGGTTTGTTTTTAGTCTTATGCTGCAAAACGGAAGCAGCTACAGATGAGTAATGACTCGTGCTTTTTTGAGAACAAACTCTTCATTAACTGTAGCCGCCATGATGTGTCTGTCTCTGTAGGAAGTAAGCGAAGGCGAAGGCTGCAGGAGCCTAAAGAAAACACTCCAGAGAGTTAGGGAGAAAATCTGGATTCTCAATTTTTGAAATCGTCCTGAACCTCAAACTCTGATTAATTTATAAAGTTGATGTATTGCCCAGCCCTGATTTAATTATTGTGGTCATTACTCACTGAAGCGGTGGAGCTAATTGGAAAGCCAGGTTCAGCCTTTATTTTACCTTTCCAAAGTATCAGCTTCATTCTTGCAGCCAGTGAAACCCAAAATGAGTTTGTCTTCATGGGAATGTTTTAATATGAGTGGACGGCAGAGATGATGATTTCCAGTTTTTAGGTTTCTTTTTCAAAGTGCTCGCTTCGGCTGTAGGTCGTGATAAATCAGTCAGTACTCTTTTGAGTGTATCTTTCACTGTTTGACTCCTGAGCACATGGTGTACCACGGTTCTGAATGAAGGGGAAAGGGGGTCGAGGGAACAGGACTTATAAGAGAACAGATCAGCTCTGCCTCTCTCAAAAAGAACAATAGTGTGGAGCGAGCTGAGGTGTAGCCCCCACCTCCCCCGCTCTGCTCCTTCCTTCCTTCCTCTCCCCTCTCTTCCAGGCACAGATGTGCCATTGCTGCTGATGTCATTTCCTGTTTTCTGTCAGGAATCGCAGCAGTTTGTCCACACCCATTTTCAGCTGATTGTTCAACGACTTCACCTCCTTTCGCTCCATCTCTTCTCGATCACGTTTCTCCTCACCCTCATGCTCTTTTTTTACCGTTGCACTGCATCGCTCACCTTTCTGTTTAAAGTAAATGCATATCTCTGATTCTGCCATGTTCCTCTCAGCCTCTTCACCTGTCAGTCTCTCTTTTCGTGTTCGCTTTGCTAATTGTACAATTGTTCTCTCCCTCTCCTGTCGTTGTAGCGAGGGCTGAAGAATGTATTTGACGAAGCTATCCTAGCTGCCCTAGAGCCGCCTGAGACACAGAGAAAGAGGAAATGCTGTTTATTTTGAACTCTGTACCAACGCTCTAAACTTCTCTCTATCTGAGTGATATGATTCATTTCTTCACTCAGTCCTTCCCCTTCCTCCTTCTTCCCCTTGTCTATCTCTCTACATGTGCTGCTTTTGAAACATAGACCAAACCCAGTCTCATCTAACAGCCCATGATGTGTTGTTCACTAACCCCTGTCCTGACACAAACTACTACTCTGTATGAAAAGCGCAATGCAACTAATCTTTGTTTCTCGGCCTTAACCCCTGGTGGTTTAAGGCTTTTTGACCCATCATACATTCATTTACTTTCTCTTAATGCTGCTGTAGAGATGCCTTTTATCTCATTTTACAAAACCACCAGTAATGCTCCGGATATCATTCAAGTGGGCAGGAGCAGGATTGTAAACTGTGGTGAGATCAGCATTTCAAAAAAACCAAGTGTCATGTCGAAGAGTTTTTTAAGATTTCGCCCTCCTTTGTGGAAAACTTGCAAAAGCGGCGTAATGTTACTGCCTCGCAGAAATGGAAGTTGTTCTGGCCTGGATAGAGAGACTCCCGTCCTGCCATTCCTTGTACTACAGTCCATCTCTGGCATAACCGATTAGAAAAACAGGCCCCTGAGTAAGACATGATCCTGATCCTAATTTCTACTGTCCGAATGGACCCTGTCGAGTAGGGGTGGGAGAAAAAATCGATACAGCATAGTATCACGATATTTTGTCTGGTGATATATCGACCAAGTATCGATTTTTTTATGAATTAAATGTTAATATGAGGTCAAATGTATGATAATGGAAGAATAAAATCAACAGTTTGTCCAGTAAGGTTAGCAGAGGTGACATAGAGCAGCAGAGAATTGGTGCAACAAATATATATAGAAGGTTTGTAAGATGTGCTACATGGAAAAAAAATGTGTAAATAAGACAAACATAAAGGACAGACAAATGCTAAATTAGCTTAACAGTTGAAAAAATTGTATAAATCACAATATATTGTATCACAATACTCACTGTATTGCAAAATGTTAAAAATTGCAATAATATCGTATCATGGTAATATTGTATTTTGGGACTTAAGTTTGTGTCAGCCTCAGTTAAAGGGATATTCTGGCGTAAATTTAAGTTATGGTCAAACACACCATAACACCGAGTTAGACACACCCCTTCGAGAGATGAGTGTTGCCGACTGCTCGCTTCTCTAGTTATACCAACTTTAGTAACCAACTTTATGGGTCTCATACAGCAGAGCATGTAAAACAGATGATGTGGATTTTGCAGCAGTGTTAGTGTCAGTTCTATCATGCAGTGAAATTCATGGATCGGATCAGATACTGTAGAACATGACTTTGGATCTCAAATGAGCTTCCAAAAATCTTCCACAGCCTCACTGGTGTCCAATTCTTATAGACGCAGCTCTTGGCCAGCAGTGGAGTGGTTTCTCCCAGAGGACATATGATGTTATCCATTTTATTACGCAGCCTTTTAAGTTGAGTCATGAGTCTCCCTCTCAGTGCTGTAGTAGTAGTTCCTGTGAGGAGGCGGGTTTGGACAGCCTCACTTTGGTGAGATTGATCTCAACATTTAACAGAGCTTCCATTTCTAATACCTATTTTTTCTACTGCTGTTGATGCCTGATAATAAAACAGAAACTGGAGTTTCACAATGGTTATTTCAATGGTTTGACGTACTGATGCCACATATATAGGGAATGTTTGGCCATCTTAACAACATAATTACCAGACTGATTCGGTGTCTTACTTTGGGACTGATGATTGATGCAGTTTAAAGCAAATCTTCACTTCATGTTTTTACAAAAACGGATTTCTAACTGAATCGATCAAACACTCCCTATATATGACACTCGTACCCTCATCAGTGGTGACTTTCATTTTGTGTTGAAGTCCAGATTTGAATAAAAGGCTGTGAGTGTGTGAAATTACTTGTGAAATAAACGAATAAAAGATGAATAAACTTGCTCTCCTCTCTGGTTCCCTTCTTTTTCAAGCCTTTGTCAGAGAAGAATTTATCAGAGCTAATCAACAAGGTTAAGAAGTGCTAAAGGGCTTACTGCTGGACCGCTGCACAGTACAGCGCTGTGTCAGTGCAGCTCTTGTTACTTCACATGACCGAGCTCCCGGCGTAAGCTGCTCTGCTCTGGAACCAAAACAAACAAAAAGCACATTCATCAGTGAGGCGGAGAGCGGACCCAGTTTGTGTTGGTTATTAGATTCATTCACAATGTCTCTCTCCGTGGTCTAAAGATAGTGCAGTAAGTTTAATCTAAACAACAGAGCCAATGAAGTAAGGGAAACTTGAGTGTTGTGGAATGAAAATGCTGTAGCTCCCTTTTGGTTTTGCGGTTGCACCGGGGTCATGCTCTTATTTTTCCTCCACTTTCTTTTTTGACTTGCCGTTGGTTTCAGTTCTCACAGTTAGACTGCACCTTGCACAGACTTGCATGTATTTGTTGTCTACACTCAGTCCGACTCACTTAAAGCCTAACTTCAAAAGAAAACACAAAACCTGTGAAGTTTTTTCTTTTTCAGATGTCCTGATGATTTATTTTTATTCCCACAGCACTTAAACTTTCAGCGTTTTCCTCAGCGATGATCAGTACTGCTTGTTCCTTGCTAGTTATTTTCCCTTTTGTTGAAGCTGTTTTGTTTTCCCTCTGCCTCTTTTCTTTGCCCTCCCCTCATTGAGCCTGTGTGTGTCTGTGTGTTTGTGTTTACAGAAAGGCCTAAAGAATGTGTTTGATGAGGCGATTTTGGCTGCACTGGAGCCGCCAGAGCCCAAGAAGAAACGCAAATGTGTGCTGCTATGAGGCTCCTACCTTTTCAATGCGCACACCGTATAACACGACATATACATACATACATCTGAAGTACACACTCAGCACACACACATGCACACACACACGCATACAGACACAGCCCTGCACCCTTTCCTTTGCTCTACTAAGGCTGGTTGACAGCATTGTCCTCCACGTGGAAGACGAGAGAGAAAACAGCCGACCAAGTTTTAGATAATTGTCTGCAATAACAGAAAGCTTCACCCTCAAGTCAGAGTTTGGGACAGAAAAGCAAAATAACCTGGCTGCTGAGGGCTCTGGGCTGAGCGGCAAACCCCTCAGTGATCCAGATCCCCTGAGCTCTTGATACCAAGCTTACGTACAAGTAGAATTCATTCTATCAAGCTTTTGATGGATTGATTTTTGGGTCAGTCAGTGTCGTGGCCTAAATTAAATTCCCAATGCCATGTAGTTGTCCTCAGCTCACCTCGAAGGTTCCATGGAAGTAAGCCCTGCCGCAACATCTCAGAGCCACCTGACTGGCGGCCGCTTGTGCTGCTGGTCCCCTGATTTTTTACACTCTCACTCAGCACTATCAAGAGGAAAGGCTAACAGTGTAGTGCTGTTTTGTTTTTGTTTGCCAAGACCCCTCTTCTCCTGAAAACACATGACCATCATGAGATGTATACTCCATGTTCCAGATAGTCACACTCTTAAACCACTAAGAAACTGTGGAGGTCTGACTGAATCGAACTGAAAGCCGGGGCACTGCGGCTAAAACGCCTCTCAGCTCCAAAACAAGGAGACATGGATTAGCGATTATCGCCACCTTAGCAGAAATACAGTCCTCCCAGCATGGACCTTCACAGTGCAGTCACAGTCCATCTGAAGTGGGGTTATTGCTGGTAAAGCTTCAGGCATCCAGTAGTTTATGGGTCTGCGAGTCGACCACAGGAATTGGCCTTTTAGACGCAGGGAACTAAACAGTGTTAGCAGAACAAGCGGTGTTCTTTCTCCGTTGCCAGGGACCAAGGAAGGGTGAAGCAGGAAACTGAACATTGCCAGCACCTCGCACTTAAGAGTGGGTACAGCAGAGGCATCTGCATGAAACTCATTTTCTTCGGCGTAGACCGGCAGCCAACTCTGGAGATCCATATTTAGAGAACCGGTCAGTGAACATGGATTACCACCAGAATTCTGTGCCAGGTCAGAATTTGGTGCCTTCCTGTAGTGTTTGATCCAGGCTGCATATGAGCAGTGTGAAGGGCTGTCTGGTCTGTTGTACCCATTCAGAGTGTCGGGTGCTGGTACTGCACGTAGCTGAGCCTTGGTCTCTGTTCTAAATATGTTTAACAGATGTAATTATAATGTAAGCTGGAACACAATGTTGATGTAGGCTCCAGGGGTTTTTACCAAAATCTTTTTTTTTTTTTTTCTTCATTATTTCTGTTTGTGTTTTTTTTTTTTAAGTTTATTTTATTTTATATATATAAATATATTACAAAAAGGTTACTTTCACTCCTTTTGCATTTTTAGGAGTCGGAACTCATCTGAACTCTTACCTGCCAGTTCATACCAAGAAAACCTCTGATTGGTTCGATTAAAAAAAAATATAAAATAAAAGGCAACCTCTAATGGCAGAATACTGTTGGTGAAGATGATTTGATTGGTTTGTCCTTGTTTTTCTTTAACTGGTGGATCAGAGTTGGGTTGATGTCCAGCTCAAGTCAGTATAATAATTATAACCTGTTGTTGTTTTGGTGCAAAACCAAATGCTTTGTCAAAGTCTTTGTTCTTTGTATATGCATTCTTTTCAAAATTATTAAACTTATACCTTAATTGCCTTTACCAGCTTTCTCTCACTGTTCTTTTTTTGTGATTTATTTTTACTGGAGGGGGGTGTTACTGGTTTCAGCACAAGAAGGCAATTAAACACAAAAGGTTAGTTGAAACGCTCAAAATAAAAATAAATATTAGGCAAACCACCTGACGTTGATTAACGTGAACGCTCTTCAATCTTCATGTCTTCAGCTGGTCTCCAGTGGGTTGGGTGAATCCAAAATGGTGAAAACAAGGGGGGTGTTCTGAGACAGGCTGTTACCTGTGAGTCGGGGGTGCTCTGAAAACACCCCCATTAGAACTTGGTGCATTACTCCTGATGAAATTAACCAAAGACTGTACACAGACGCAGAAAAAAATCAAGTCGACCAATCAGAAGTTTGGTCGACTCAGCACATATTGACCAATAACTTGACTAGGACTTTACAGCCCTGCTGTATATTTACTTTGTGGTTATTTGATACTGTAAAGGGAGTACCCAGAGTTTTATACTCTTGACAGACCCCCTCAGCTCTTTCAGTCTTACCACAGGAAAAGCATATTGATGGAGTCACAGTGTTAATTTACTCACTTCTGATAGCGCTGAGTGTGTACCAGTGACATATGGTCATGAACGCTGCAGCATCTCAACACAGAGACTGTGATTGCATGTTCGGCCAGTAAGCGGTGCTGTCCACCCAAACAATGCAGCTCCTCAATGTTGTGGATAACAGGGAGGCTCATACTCAAGATGTGAAAAAGTTCATGGTTTCAGGGTTGAATAAAATAAAACGACCAAAAAAAAAAGACACTGTAGAATGACAAAACACAGAAATCAAAGCAGTCTCAGTGGTAGACAAAGGGGTTAAACCTAGTTTCAAAAAGGCATGAGCATGAAAACGAGCAGTTAAAAAAGCTGCGGATTTCACCTGATGGGCGAGAAAGAGCATCGGGATAAAATGCAAAAGGTTGATTTTATATAGGGATGTTTGGAAAAACATATTAAAGTTAATACCTCTTAAATGTTTAGATGCTTTTGTGAAATGTTGATAAAACCTGAATTTGATGCTTAAGAAAAACCCTTGAAATAGATACTTAAACCTTGTGTTCAGGTAAAGAGAGAATGTCAAATGCTAAAACTTATCATTTATCCTCATTTAATTAAAAATATTCTCACTTTAAAGTTGATAAACATTTCAATAAAGTTGGGGTAAGGAGTGCCGTTAAAAGAAAGGGTAAAGCAACATGCCACTGTGGTGCTTTTTAGGGCTGTGGGGCCAAGTCTTAAGATACTACTGTGTTAAACCCTCTTTTTCCAAACAAACTTCAATTCCCCACCAATCCTAAAGCTTAAAGAGTTGTCGGACAAATCATTTACCAAAATGTGCAGTTTGATCTGTATTGGTGTGCTATATAAAAAAAACAAAGTCAAAACAATTGTTGGAGCTTTTCAAATGTCTACTACTTCGGTTCCAGTTTTTTTTCTTTTTTTGTTGTATAAATAAATAAAATGTTTGTTGTAGACGTTATTTTCTAATATTACATTTATAATAAGTATATTTATCATAAAAGCTTTATATATTGTCTTTGCACTTCGGCCTTTCTGAGAGTTCATGGTAAATTGAAATTACTCATACAGTCCCCATCATCAGAGATCACTATCATCTTCACTCTGCTTACACACACGTTAAAGAATTCCTCGAATGACAGCCGATGAGGGTGATATTCCAGGTTTGGTGACCTGGATCATCTGCCACAGACACCTTCTTTGGGGGGGAGGGGTAGCAGACTGCACCCTACCACTTCTCTCATCCCAGCTCTGCCCTCATCCACCCCTGTGAGGCATTCACACATTCCCTGCGTTTCTGGAGTACCGTCTGTCAGCGCCTTCTTCTGCTAAAGAGACGCTGACAGCCATTAATTATCATGCAGGCTGAACGAAGGGCATTCCTCTTTGCTGAAATATTGGTGTACACACAGAGGCGCACACACACTCACTCCTCAGCCCTTTACATCCACACACGAATGCAGAGGGACACCACCTGGCCTCCGTTGGTCTTCATCATGTTTGACAAATGAGTCTAAATGTTTTGCTGTCCCAGGTCATCCAATCAGCGTCAAGCAGAGGTGAAGATGTAACGGCAACGAAACCCACCAGGACACCTGAAACACACTCGGAAACACAATACGGCAAAGAGTGTGTGTGCCGCGGAGACCTGTATGTGAGGATTTTATGATGATCTGCAAGAAACTGACTTATAATGAAGAACACATTTGTGATTTAACAGTTTATCTGAGCTCAGCAGTAAATCAGTGTACAGATGTCTCAGATATACACAGAACTGGAGCAGACCTGCTATCTCTGTGGGTGTGCGTGGAAATAAATCTGTACTGTTGGCTACAGCTAGGACACAGCCTGCTTAGCAGTGCCAGGACTGAACCCTCCTGAGTCCCAATAAATACCTATAAGACACATTTGTGTCCCATTTTCAAACAACCTCCCTTTAAGTTTTAACCATTTATTTATTAGTTTTTTATGTATCTAGATCACCATTAGCTACTACCTGAGTAGCAACTACTCTTTATGGGGTGCACATAGAAAGACACTAAACATTCATATAGATTAAAATGATTAAAGTCCAAACAGGAAAAATTGACAAGATGTTAAAGTCAGAGTTAAAACAAGAATAATGATGACAATTCATTTGCAATTACAATAGACAGCAATGAGGCCAAGATGAATCTACTCGCAATCCAAAAGGTAATCTCTCATTGGTATTTATTGAACATCATTACAACATCGTCAAAGTGTTTTGTTTCCTCTTGCAACAGTGAATACAGAAACTCCGCACACACGAAAGGTCACACGAAAGGTCACCAAAAAGATTATAAATTAGATACTAGTTTTACACATAGACTGTATATAGAATGGACACCGTCTGCCTCCTCACTGGGTGAAGCCACCGTGAGAACAGCACCCTCTGGTGACGGGCTGCAGTATAGGTCATAAATCCCCCCTCCTCCAGTAATCCCTATGGAGCTGTGGACAAACTTTAGAGAGTTATTACTCAGAATATAAATTTTTCTCCCCCCTGCTTGCGATGTTGACATTTAGTTACAGTAAGACTGGTTTGTGTTCAAGTCCTCTTTTTCTGTGTAGCTCCATTTTTAAAAAGTTATAAGGGGGTTCATATTTTCTATGATTGACACTTGATACAGCCTATGGGCGTTTGAAGATTGTGTAGCTCACCCAGGGGGATATGCTGTCTGAGCCAAGCGTCATCACAGCGACTTTTGGCGACTCTCCTGCCGAATGCGTACAATGGTACTGCGCAAGTGGTGGTTCCAGGAAGTAGAGAAAATCCCAGAATTACCAAAAGCAACGACAGAGGGCGGAACCAAGTTGTCCATAGTATATACAGTCTATGGTTTGACTTCTTTAAACACATGTTTACTATTTAACCTTGTGATGACAGAAGAAAGACATAATTTTATACCTCTACACATGGCAATATGCTGTTCAGAGTTGGTATTTAATACAAGATTTTTATTGATCCCCAAAGGAAAATGAATTTGGCTGAAGTCTCATATCTCATGTTATTTGTGAGGGGAAAAGTGAAATACCCATTGGATGCCGATGATATTAAATCAGTGCACCCTGCCAGCATCACTGTTTGTCTTCACAGGTGTCAGTCAACATCATGACTCAGGCTGTTGCTGTTTTATCCAATTAAAATCATCCCTGATGCGTCCTCAGTCAGAGTTCAACATTTATCTATAGGTACATGTGGAGTCACTATTTTCCAAAGTTACCACTTTACTCAAAAAAGTACTAGCTGTTGCCTTAAACAGGGATCTCCGGATAGTAGTAGGTAACCATATTTACCCTGAAATCACTGCGCACCACAATGACAGTGGTACACGCTTGCCTGCATGTTTCTTAATACCTTACATCACTTCAGTGTTATCCTTAAAAACACACTGTACCTCTCACAGTGAAACTCTAAAGCTGATTCCTAACCACCTTTACGCAATGGTTACTAGCTTAGCAGTGCAGCATTGATGAAGTTCAGTTCAGAGGATCTAAAAGTGTTTCAAAACAAGATGAAGTAGAGTTAACTATTGGAAAAACAGCCCTTGTATTTGCAAACGAAGATACCTTTGCTTTGTGGTAATATTTTCTTCCCCCAATCAGAACAGCTGTCTGTGTGTGTATCCTTCAAACTTCAGCTTGTTCACTGTGTGAGAAAAGTACATGACTGAGAGCAAGGCGACCATAAAGTGGCCACCTCTGGTCACTGCAAGGATTATTTTGACACAGCAGATTGCTGGTAGTTAATGGATACATTTCACACACGCTCCAACCCCTTTCACCCGCATTCACACGCCTTAATAAATAAAGGGGTGTGTGTGTGTTCGTGTGTGTGTGTTTAGTGTCCAGGTGTAAAGGGAAGGTTGCTTTCAGTTCACCTAAAACCTCCATGATGACAGACACAGAGTTATAACCAGTGATGGAGAGCGTGTGTGAAGAGGTAAGCTTACAGTCATCCTTCGTTCCAGAATCCAGAGATGAAGCTTTGGCAGGTGAGGCCCTCATCAACTGTCTGATCCACAGACCAGGTCTGAGGAGCGGACTGGATCAGGTTTCACTGTACATATCTTTGTCTGTCAGTCATTAAACCCTGATAAGGTCTCAAGTCTTATTAGCAAGTTTGTCATCAGTGTCATGTACCTTATTTGACAATCATGCTGCTTCCATGTCTGTCCCAGTCCTGGTTTTTAGTATTCAGCTCATTTGGGACATTATAGGGGTGTATTTAAATTTAAATTTTCCCCACTTTAAAATTATTCTTATCATTAATGTTTTATTCAATTCTTCAGGCAAATTTAAACTGGAAGCATACTTGGTTTAAACACAGTATACTTGAAGTACACATGAGCATACTTCTTTTTGGTAAGGGCTTCTTTTTGGCACTTGGTTTACAGGAAACAGGACTTTGTTTAGGGCCTCCAGGAGGGCATTTTGGAGACACGTTTCTCACCTGAAGGGATCTAAAGTGGTTTCTGTAAACACGTATCCAGAGAGCATCCGTCTATTTCTTTGAGCAAATCTTTGAAATGACTCCTGAAAATTCACTTTTACAGACTTGTTCAGATGTGAATTTGCCCTTTAGCTACTTCTGAACTTGAAATAATAACCTTCATTTTATTTAAAAACTCGAACTTAAACCATCGGGTTTCTGTTTGACCCTCTGCTGTACTGTGTTTGATCCTATTTCCTTACTTATTTATTGTTTTTGTTGGTTTATTTGTCTCTCACAGCTCCTCATCTTTTTATTCTGATGTGATGTTGTCTACCTTTTCCCCTTTTCCGTTCTCAGTTTTTCTCTTACTTTCTTCTAGTGAATCTTTATCGCCTATTCTATAACTTAGGATTTATGTCCCCTGCAGTCATAATTGTTATTTACTCTGCTGTGTTTGTCAAAGCACCTTAACTCCTGTTTTTAAGGGTGCTAGACATAAAGTTATAATAATATTATGATAATACTTATCATTATTATTGCACAAAAATAATATTAATAATTATTATTAAAGCCGTTTCAAAATTGATAAACAACAACCCTTTTTACAGCTCATAAATCATGTTCACAAAGACATCCAGAGAGTGGTTGTCAATGCTTGGTAGACTGGGACATGTGGTTAATAAGGTGATTGTGTTAAAAACACAGATTTATGAAGCACAATACACACAACAGGTTGAAAAAAGCTCTGTGAAGGGAATGAGCCCCCAGTTCACTGACCTTTGGTGAATTTCAGGCGCACTCATGGGCAGTAAGGCTGTCAAACTTATCCTATAAGGTCAGAAACAGGGAGTAAATCAGAAGTACCAGTGCTCAGCCATGTTGGATGTTGAGCCTGTTGTCTGTGTCTTGATGCCCACCAATGTGACGCTCATGCCCACTCAACTCGTGGTGCACAACGTGGCGCTCTCAGAGCAGAAGCACTAGAGACACCAGAGGAAAGCCGAGAGGGAAGAAGAGGGGAGGAGGGCTTGAGGAGAAAGAATTGCAACTGTCATCACAAACAAGAACCATCTGTCTCATTTGTGTAACTTGTTTTCTTTTAATATGAGAAGTATTCTGAAGAGATCTGGGAGTTTGAAAGAGGCCTGGGAGGGCCGGGCCCTGGGCTAAAGCCAACCTTCTCTTGGTTTCTGTGAGCGAGGGGCATTATTATCCGGCCAACCTGCACTGTTAACCCTTCACGTACACTGTGTGCACTGTCGAGGAAAGAGAGATGCATCTGGAACTTTGACCTGAGGTGTGCAGATGTTTGGGATGAGACGGCTATAGGCCAATTATGCTGTAAATACGCTGATTTAATGAAGCACATCAGAGTTGACTTTTGACAATAACCTTTATTACTCGTCTAGTTTTGGTTTAGGTTTTGGAAGGGTTGAAACTGGGGGAGAATTTGGCACTGCAACATCATTACAGGAAAACATCAATATTTTAATTCTTTAGGTCTTTCCTGTTTCCTATCATATTTAAACAAAGACATTTCCATTAGTATAACTTTTTATTTTAAATTCATTCTTTTAATAACCTTAAACTAGTTCTGCTATTAGGCTGGGGTGAAAGAATTTGGCTTGGATGAATGAGTTTAATTTTTATTTTTGGAGTTTACCTGCTGCGTGTCTTGTTTTACTTTCTGTTTTCTGATCAACAGCTATCCTTGTTTTGGTTTTTCCCAGTGTTGTTCAGGGTGTCATCCTTGCTGATAAATCACTTCACTCTTGAACCAAGTTGTCCATAGTATACACAGTCTATGATATGTATGCTGTTTTACTGACAGAATTTTTTTGTCATGACAAAATAATAAAGATAAAGATTTTAAAAAATAAAATAAAATAAAAGCATTGTGTGTGTGTGGAGAGTGTACGGACTGTCCCAACAGCAAGCAACAGGTTTTCTTGTGAACATTGGTTAGGGTTAGGGTTAGGGGCGTTTTCGTAGACTCCGTCTTCAGGGACCAAAAACTCAGTGTGTGTTTGGATAAAATTTAAAGACATGTCGATGGGGTCTCAGTGTTAACTCTTCCACATGCCCTTGTTGGTTTTCGCTGACTTTTGTGCTTTCTGTGGATGTGTCAAGTCTTTAACACATTATCACCAGTCACCTCCTTTGTATTTCAAATGTTACACACTAGGCTTTAGGTGTTAAGACAATCCTCATGGTGAATATATAAATACTGATTTTAGAGCAGTTGATTCCTGTCATTACATCTATATTGTTTCAGATCCATCTGTCAGAGAGGTGAAGATTTGTTGCCCAGGAAATCATGTCTGCTATAGAATAACATCGTATGATCTATGAGTTCTTTAATTCCCCAAATATTTGTACAGACCTTCTTTAAGCTATATATGTTTCTCTTTTAATCTCTGCCAAGTCCAACACACACACACACACACACACACACACACACACACACACACACACACACACACACACACACACACACACGCAGACTAAGTGGTAAAACCCAACTGTCAGCCTCTTGTCTCCGCCACAACCGCAGCAGACCACAAAAGGCATTAGAGATCCCTGACTGACTGACTGACTGACTGACTGACTGAGCGACTGCCTGCCTTCGTGTACATCTGGCTGTCTGACAGACGGAGCGCACATGCAGACACAAGCTTACAGACATTCTCAATCAGTGTGGCCACCATCACCCACCTCATCCAGGCCATCATGGTGGCTTAATGAAGGACAGATCCACACTGTCGCAGACTTAAGATGGTTTGGGTTTCACTCTCCGCAGAGGGGGGGCAGACTGGGGGTGTATGTCAGAGATATTGCAGGAGAAAGGAGCTCGAGTCCCCCCCCCAACTCAAGCTGGATGATATTGATAGAGACAGAAGACAGAAAAGCTTGTGCCATGTGGTCTGCATTTTACTGTAATCCCTGTTCTAGCCTGGTGTTCCTGCTTCTGTTCCCTCTTCAGCATAAACCCAATCAGGCGCTCCCTGAAATCCGAGCAGCCACTCCGGTTCTCCCCAAAATCTGACTACCAGGTTCCCAGCACTGCAGGACACACATCCATTTATCTCTGGTTGATATGCTGCACACTGTGATATATGTTGCATAAATTATGTTTATAGGTGTCAGGGGTGCAGGGAAGGACCTCAGGGTGTAATGTACCCCACACAAACAGGCTACACACACACACACACACTCAAAAATGCAGCACGGTGCACACTGTGGCCAGATAATAACGTAGCCGAAAGACACGGGAAATGGACGATTTTATTGAAATATGTGTATGTCTGTCAGCAGGGCTGTGTGTGGGAGTGTGTCTCGGGGCTTGGTGGTGGAATAAGATCTGCTCCCTTTCACTTTCCATCTCTCTATCCCTTCATGTTCTTTCTTTCCTTCTGGGCAAAAACTGTTTTTGCAGCATTCCTTCTCTTTCACATATACAACACGAACGCTACAAGGGTGAAGATGTTAAGGGTTTAAATAAATCAAGTCTGATGGTTAGCAAATCACATGAAGCAACATTGAAACAGTTAAACCAAGTGTTTTGGTTTTTTTGTGAAAGATATATGTCCATTTAAAATTTAAAGAAATCCCCTATAACTGATTTGAGTTTCTGGAGTTTCTATTATTTCTTTTAGTTTCTATTATAGTGTTTTTTGTTTTAGGATGCACCAAATGTTTTAAATGGAGAATGTGTAAGAACTGCAGACAGGCCAGTTTAGCAGCAGGACTCTTTTACTACAGAGCCATGCTTTTGTAATTTGTGCAGAATGTGGTTTGGCACTAGGAATGGGCGATATGGGCAAAAAAATTTATCGCGAAAACGACAAAAGTCCACATAAAAAAATATTATAATTCCAATCTATGTTTTTGACTCATTTTGTCTTGAGAACACCAGTTGGAATAGTCAAATAAGATACCTAATTACAATTTTCAGTGGTAGGTTATAGAGAAAACTAGTGAAATGTGAAAACACTTTCAACATTTATTGAAAACTCTTATTGCACAGAGTGAACAGAGTGCGCAGATCCTCTGTCCGATGTCAGGCGTACCTGATCGTAATCATCTAAGCCCCGACCTTGAAGGAAATCCCTCATGTGGAGCCTCATTCAGTAACAAGCTGCTCAGAAACGTCTTCTTCATTTCCTGTCGCCATGTTTGTTTGTTCTTCTGCTCTGTGTGGGTTATGGCTACGAGTCCGTCGCACACGCTAATGTCACCAACTTGCATTTGTTGCGTTTATCGTAAGATGGTAAAAATTTATCTTGGAAGAATTTTCTGATGATAAAATTGTAAATGATAATTTATCGTCCCTCCCTGTTTGGCACTATCTTCTTAGAATATGAAGGTCTTCCCTTCCCCATAACATCAGGGACACTGGCTTTTGAGCTGTCTGTCTCGAGTTCTTTTCAGAGTCTTCAACACCTCATCCATGATTTCCAAAAAGAACATCAATTTAGATCTGTCACAACAAGACAGTTTATGGTTTGCAAACCATCACAGCCTGTTTTTATGGACATTTTACACATATGCAGTTGTTTTTTTTACACTGACACACGCTACAAATAGTTCCTTTGAAATAAGCGACAACAGCCATTTTTGACACAGCATATATTCCGTATTAACATACATTCATAGGCAGTATAGTCTTCTTCAGTGTATAAGTCTTTACAGATCTACAGTATGTTTCTATAATGATAGCACAGTATTATAGGAAAGCCTGGCTTTATGGTGGAGGTGCAAGACAACAATAGACTCCTGACAGTGGCATGGGAAACTGTGTCCATGTGTGTGTGTGTCTGTGTGAGCAGCGGGGACAATTTGATCTATAGTCAGATGTTTGCTGTGGTGGGGCGAGGGCTCTATGTGCGCTTGGAGAGAAAGTGCTTCAGTCATCATGCATGTTGAGCATGCTCTGCAACCCTCTGGCAGACCCCTTTGTGTATGTGTTTACATTGTGTGTGTTTGCTGGTGCATGCATGTCTCTGTGTTTGCTCATGTTGAACATTTGGCTGAAAGCAACAGGCCACGGTTAACATGAATCCGATGAGTACTTAAGCGATTTGAGATAGGCGGCTTTGAAATGGGAACTGATCGTCTCAAATCTGATAGGAGGATTTGGGTTCCTTGTTTTAGGTAGCAGCTGTTGACATACGTGTGTCTGGGTTTGCTGGGTATATGTGTGTTGGTGGTTATGATGCCCGTCACCTGCCAGTGCCTTTGGCCTACAGAAAAGACAGGAAGGATCTGACTGTGGCTTTCACCTTTCCATCATCATCCTCCCTCTGACTGAAAGAGAGGGAGTGTGTTTGCATGGAGCAGCATCAGGGCATTGCAGGGGAAAAAATGAAAGACTGAACATCAAGAAATCACAGCCATGTACAATCACAAAGAGAACCACAGCAAGTCTATCTGTGACGTGTCACTCCTTGTTGTAGGTCCATCCTCTAACAGACTCTGCGTCTCCCTTTTTGACATCCATCAGTCCAAATGAGTCCCCAAAGCATCAGCAGCAAGGACAGAGGGCAAACATCCCTCCTCTTGACCCCGTCCCAACCCCTTAACCCCACCCGCCATCTGCCCACCCATGGGTCCAGTCTGTCCCTTATTATCTTCACTCACCTGCTCCCTCTTATTGGTCCACCCCATCAATCTCCTCAGTCTCAACAAATAAGTTAAACATTACAAAAATAAGAAGCATCATCAATAAAGCAAATATGAGAGTGAGGGAAGGAGGGAGGAAGTGAAAGATGGTCTCTGCTTGGGCAGAAACACTCTCCCTCGGTCGCTTTTCAGGAGATCCCATGCATTTTCAACTGACGACAAAGATGGTGGCATGAAATGGTTAGATGAACTGTCAGCCACTCAGTGTGCTTCCTTTGACCAGTAGTCGAAGGGTTTGGTGGTTTCAAGCAGGAGACAAGGGAACTTTGCAATCCATCTCTCTCCCTTTCCCCTTGGCAGTTGAGCTGGAGTGTGGGGCGTTTGTTTCGTCCATAAGCATGCCCTTGGTGCCCCCACTCCCATCACCGGCAAGTGTGCATCTCCACCATTTTGCGGCACTGTTTGCATTTGACATAGCAGCACCAGTGGAACTTACAGCTACACCTGTCCACCACCTCTACCTCTTGCGTCTGGAAGCCACGGCCACAGCACATCAGCTCACAGCCGTCGATGGCCTTGGACGTTCTGTTACACTGGCGGCCCACTGTGCCCAGCATACCCGGCGTTCGTGGGTCATAGTCGCAGAAATCTGGACTGGGGTCCAGGTAGACAAGATCTTCGTCAGTGTGAGGTTTGAATTGGGAGTTTCGGGGTACCAGGACTTTGGTGCTGCCCACCTTCCGCTGCTCCACCTCTGTGGCTCCATCAAACTTCTCCTTGATGACGTTTCCCACTTTGCGGAAGGGTGGCATGGCTTTCCAGCAGGTCTTGACCTCACATGAGCCTGAGACCCCATGACATTTGCACTCAACACGCATGTGGGACAGTATAGCCTGCAGGAATACAAAAGAACCATGGGTAAGCAGATGTAGTTTGATAGATTTTGTGGTAAATAATACTTCAAGAATAACTGCTGCAAATAGCAAAATGAATCCATCAGAAACAGTCTGTGATCTTACTCACAGCTACTATGGACTTCTGCTTGAGTTGTAATATTAAACTTGAGTCAGACTTGAGTTACTCTCATGAGCGATTGAGATTTAACTTTTGACTGGACATGGCTTTGTCTTCATGCCCTGGCAAACTTATCTAACCGACATACACCGGACCAGAAGTTTGACTGAATGAATGAAGTTTCGGCTTGTGCTCGTATTTCTTGACTTGAAACTTCACCTGGACTTGACAAGAGACTTGATTGGTCTTTTCAAATAACTGTAACTTCATTTCTTTTCACTTGCATTCAGACTTACAGAAAATGTAATATTTGGGATTTGACCCTTACTTATCTTAAATGACTAAAAACTTGGCATGGAAATCAGCCAGTGGCTATTGTGGTATGTTAATATATCTTTAAATATACAGTGATATTACAATGTTGATTGTCGATACTGGACCGAGATACAGAGATTTTGCTGTGATGTTTCCAAGCTTTTCTGAACAGCTCATTTCGAGGAACTTTGCAGAACCTGGTCTGAACCTGACCTGAGGAACTGCTATCTCATTGGGACCATGTTGGAGGACGAGTCTACCCAGAGGCAGTCCATTTCACTGCTCGACAAGTATAACAATATGGAGTCAGGGGGCTGTTATTCAAAGCAGATTTCAACCACCCCCTTACAGTACATTACACCTTTAGTTCAGTGTTACATTGAGGTATGAGGAAGCAGACCTCTGCTGGCTGTAATCACAGGTTGCCATCTACTTTAGGGATGGGAGTCATTGTGGGAGATAATGCTTTGAAATATAAAACAACAAACAAATTTAATGCAGACCAAAATTAGTGAAATGTCCATCCACATTCACATCAAGAGCAGTCAGTTACCTTTCTTCCAGCCTCGTTGTTGTGCAGGTTCATGAGAGCCCGACTGGAGGACTGGCCTTTACTCCTCTCCCTCACATCAACAAAGGACTGGGAAAAGGCCACACCATATGCAATGTTGTCACTGCAGCCCGACCACTGGAACCCTGTGACAGGAGGGTTCGGATAAAGACAGAAAATGGTCAGCTATGTAGCACTTTAAGCACTTTATTGTTTATTTCTGCACTCAGTGATTGACTCATAAGGACTCCCCCACAAACAAGCGGCTGCCGGAAGAGAGTAGGTGAGTTGTGTTTGGTCTCTTTGCCAAAGAAATCAGGCAAGGCTAAAAAGATGTTTGATGGCTAGTTCTATGGCTGGGACCCTATATGTACTGTTAATGAAGTTAGGTGCTGTTCTGAGCATCATTTGTGGCTATAGAGTGGCTTTTTAGTTAAGGTGTGTGCGTGGAGACGTAGACCACTGTGTATTGCTATCCTGCAGTCGTTACTTAAGTTGGTATAACTAGAGAAGCAAACAGTCAAAAAGATGTTTGATGGCTTGTACTATGGCTGGGACCCTATATGTGTTTGACCATGGCTTAAACTTGCACCGGAATATCCCTTTAAGACACTCTTTGATACGCTACCTGCAGACATACATCTTGCCTTTAAAAAATGCTGCCATATTTTGTCTTTAAAATGATTCCATTGAAATGTACTGGAGTAGTGAGTAGTTGGTCCCTCTGTACTTTGTGTGTGTGTGTGTGTGTGTGTGTGTGTGTGTGTGTGTGTGTGTGTGTGTGTGTGTGTGTGTGTGTGTGTGTGTGTGTGTGTGTGTAAAGAGAGAGACCTACCCTCTGGACTGACTCCATGTACATTGTGGTCACAGCCACATTTTTCCAACTCTCCACTGCTGCAGGCCCTCGTGACCGCAAACGCCACACTGGCTGCTGAGATGGCATACACAAAAGCTGCCTCACGAGTGCCTAACACCCACGCGTGGACAAACACACACAAACACACACAAACACACACAGTCATATTGTTTCATTAAGTCACCAAAAAGAGCCTCTTTTGCTGAATGACAGAAACCAGTGCACAGATAAACGTCTGGTGAAGTAAATGGGCCTAGACACTGAAATGTCGGTGCCAAAACAAATGGAATCATTCTGAAAAACGTCCCTCGATTTTTAAAAGGAATGAAACATCCACATTAGTCAGCTCGGGGTGTCGTACTGTCAGTCGAGGAGTTGGTTTCAGGAATCTCTCTGGTGTATAATCTTACCCTGTGTGACAACTTTGCCAAAAACAGGCATGGTCTCCAGAGTGGAGCAGTTCCATCGACGGTTACGAAACTGGAACTGACACTCATCTATAGCAAGCTGGGCTCCTCGACGCACCGCATCCATCACCTCCACGCTGCGCTTACAGATCTGAACCTGGAAGACATAAAACAGAGGAAGACCGTGAGCCACTAAAAAATTAAGATCCTTCGGTGTCTCAATTAAGAAACTATTGGAGAAAATAATTCACCCAAATAAAGACAGACAAGATAATCAGAGACTTACTTGCTACATTTTGGTTGTATTGCTTTTTGTTGACTATTACATGAATTTCTAAGATAGAGCTTTTAATTCTGTGTTTGTGTTTCTATCAAACAACAAGTTGTGTTTGACTGAAACAAAAAGGCCACAATTAACAAAGAAGAAACTGTAAATTTAGGAATCATGACATTTATCAGGGTTTATCCTTTGGGTAAAATCTCAGATTCGTGCTTCGGAGCATGTACCTGTCTTTGGATGAGACCTCGTAACCTTTCGCACGTCTCCTCATCCCTGATGCTTCCCACTGATGACAGTTTAGCCAGGTACCTGGCAATGACAAAAACCAAAAGACAACAGAAAAGGACATCTTTAGTGTGCAGTAGGAGCCTTACAAAGTCAAAGTCCCAAATCACTCTGTTCTGCAGCTTGCTTAGTGTCCCTCTGCTTTAAAATACAACCATGGTGACAAGGCATACATGGGACAGTTTACCACAGGTGGGCTCAAGCCTCAGGCCCAGAGAGACCACCAGTGTTTTCTGCCCCATCTTCTTCTCATCATACAGTTTTAACCTGTAGTTGTGGATGTGGGGACTAATCAATCACTGACACTCAGTGTTTTTTGGAAGTAATTTGAAGCCCATGCTGCAATTTCCATCACAACGTCATGTCTGGTTTTAATGTGTGGCCCAAAGATCATAGCTTCAAAATACTCTGGATTGTTGAAGGATATCATCTCCTGTAGATAATGAAACCCCCAATTTCTTGTCATTTGTAGTGGAATTAAAACCTCTGTCTCTCGGCTGAGGGTCAGGAGTTTGTTAACCCTTCCATCACCTGCAGCACCTTTTGTGTTACATAATAAATCTTTAAACACAGAAGATTTAACATGGAGCATGTTCACCGTGGACCACAGTCACGGCTGCCTCATTGACAGATTTAGGAGAGAGGGTGGGCTAGGACAAAAGTTTCAAAGTACCTGAGCTTGCGCCTGGATTTAAGTGAAACCAGATAGGAGGCAAGAGGGCTGAGGTTTCATCAGACCTCAAACATACCTTAGGGATGCTTTATTTCACAGCCTGATTCAAATTCAGTTACTGAAAACATTCAGATGGAGCAGAGCTACAGCACAGAAGGTTTGTTCCCATGACGTTGTGGGAATGTTTTGGAGAAACGTCTGGCTGTGAGGACACTGAGAGGAGGAAAAGTGGCTTATCATACACACCACCTTCAGGCCAGACAGGTCAGGGAGATATACCGCGGACACACACACACGCACACAGACTCACACAAACATCAGACTGGGTGCCCTGACCCACACACATCCAGCTCACCTCACAGGGACAGATCTGAGCCCCGTATCTGGAGTCCCAGCTGCCCCTGACAGAAATAGGTTTCCTCATAAGCTGGCAGTGAGACTTCCACAGAGGGAGCTGCACTGATTATGTTCCGTCTGCTCTCCTCCACGTGTAATCATCTTAACAAATGTTGAGTCTAAAAGTCAGTTTGTTTTATCAAACAGGGGAAGGTTTTGCAGATGTGAGGAGTAAATTTCTCATTTCTGCTGCAGTTTCACATAACAAGAGTCACGAGATGTCAAAATGATGCCTTCTCTGAACAAAAGTCAACACCTCATCTGGTGATGTTCAACCTAGGACTGCACGATTTTGGCCAATAATGAAATCCCGATTTCTTTCTCTGAGAAGTCAATTGTGATTTTTCATTCAGTGACAACTTCACCAAACTTCACTTGAAAAAAACATTTTTCTATCATCTCTCAAGACAAAACCACTGAAAGCGATGTAATGCGTATGCCAAGCCAGTAAGTGGCGCTGTAAGGCTGTCCAGGAATTGTACCAAAGACAGAAGAAGAGTACAGAGCATGTGTATTAAGGTTGTTTTGGCCGGACACACGCAGGCACCATGAAACAGTTACGCAGTGTGTCTCATAATCGTTTTCAAGAGAGATGCAGAGATGAAATGGTAGTCGTGTATGGATTTATGCACTCTCTGACCCGCTTTCACCCGTTTACCTTTTGCGTTTACAACTGAATTTGATGGGTTGATACCGCCTTCCGACAGACTTTGCAGCGGGGAGTGGTTTGCTATTCGTCCGACACTGCGAAGCTGTACCAATTCCACACAACTGACTTGCTCTTGTCCCATTTAGCCACGAAATTATCGCCTTCTTTTGCGAACGCCATGTTTGTTTACACTGGTGTGTTTGGGAACTGGGGAGAGCTCTCACAGGAAGGGGGCGTCTACGGTGGCCTGGAGGTACAAGACATGATAGAGAGGAAAACATCGTCACAATTACATAATCCGATTACGATTTAAAATCGATTAATCGTGCAGCCCTAGTTCAACCTAATTTCCTAACTACCTAAAAAACTGCTACGAGGTTTTTCTGGGCTATTTTTGCCGTTATCCAGTGAAACAAGTGAAGAGAGACGGGAAATATAAGGGGTACAGACTCATAGATGGGTCAGTGTCAATGATGACTACACTGAGGCTTGAAACTTGATCGTGGAGGTGTTTCAGCATTCAAAGATAATTTTTAAACATCCATTGACATCTTTCTGTCATCGCAGCAGTTTTCTTATCTTTAGTTTAGTTTCCCAGAAGCTGCAGGTGTCACAGGAGTACAACGATGAGTATAACAAAGATGTTTGGCCTTGTACAAAGGTTCTGGTTCTATCTGAAATGCCAACACTGATAGAACCATTCACAGTCTGTAAAGAACAATAGATAAATACAAGAAAAGTGATTTTTTAACTTTGAGCAAACCTATGAATCCATTATTTTCAGGCTCCTCCATTTAGTGGACAGAGTTTGCATATGAAAATGTCCCTCAATAAAGGCAAATTCCAACCAAATTAACTTTCAGGCCATCATTGTGTACAAGGAGACATGCTTTTCCTTAAGGTTTCTCAAGCTTGTTTTATGAGTCTCGGGTTATGAGTTCCCAAGACCACACATACCTCTGTAAATCCCTGTTAGCCCGTCTCAATCATGCTGTGGCACAGATCCAGACTGCAGAGAGTTCTGCTGTCAGGTTATTGACAGAGCTATTGCACAACACAGAGTCATGCTACCAATGTTTCGCAGAAGGGTTTATGACACCTTGATTGTTGATTTCATTTAGTTTGAATTAGCTGTTGCACTGCGAGTTATGAAACTTTGCTGAATTGAGAGCGTAAAACCATCATAATTTTCACTTTAAAAAAAAAGAGGTAGTGTAATAATCAGTATATCATCCTTCCAGAGGTCAAACATCCCCTTGTCTGCTTTTACCCTCTCATCTCCTCCTCTCTCCAGTTCATATAATCTCTCTCTGACTCTTTGATGACCTCCGTTTTCTCTTCCCCCATCCAGTGTCAGTATTTAGCAACTCATCACTGCGATAACCCCACTTTCTGCCACTCCACCACAGCTCAGCCACATCCACTTACATTCGCCTCGGGGGTGACATCATTCTCTCATGAGGTTGACTCTGTTTCTTCTGAGCCACACCAGGCCCCCATCATTCAGGACAGAGGGTTTTTGTGTCATTAGACCCTGTCTTCACACACTCATATTTATGGCTGAACGATTAATTGCATCCGCGATAACATTGCAATATGATAAAATGCAATTTTCTCATCGCAAAGGCTGCGATATCGACTGGTCACGTGAAAGTTTAGCAACAAAGAGGAGCAGCACGAGGGGCAGTTGTGTGGATTTATTTTGGAAGAAAAAGATGCTGCTGCGCAACGTGTGCAGAACCTGTCGTGCTACATCAGGAGGTAATACTATGAACCTTTACCAACACTTAAATTCAACACAAGTACTTTTAGAGAGGAAAAATCATGAATATTTCAGGTAGAAAATGAGACAAATATATCAAAAACACTCTACAGTATGGCAGTATCAACAAACATATTGCATTTTGCATACCTGGTGACTCAATAGCAGCAGAAGTTTAATGAACCCTATGGTGATACCCCGACATTTATTATCTATTCGCCCGAATGTTTAATATTTCACTTCTGCCTGTTGACAATGTGGCAAAAATGGTACTTTCGTAAAGAGATAATAAGTTAGGATCAAACAAACCGTAATGCAGAGTTAGACACCTCCTTGAAAAATGAATGCTGCCAACCACTTGCTTCTCTAGTTATACCAACTTCAGCAACAACCTCATGTGGGCAATACACAGAGGTCTACGTCTCCACGCGCAAACCTCAACCAAAAGCCACTCTATAGCCATAAATAATGCTCAGAACAGCTCCTAACTTCATCAACAGTACATATAGGGTCCCTGCCATAGTACTAGCCATCAAACATCTTTTTAACTTTGCCTTTGCCTGAGACCAAACACAACTCACCCACTCTCCTCCAGTAGCCACTTGTTGAGGTGGCTGACTGAGTGCAGCGGAGTTTCGCAGCTCAAGGAAGAACATTGATTACTTCATGGAAATACAATCAGACTGAGACGAAAAGGCAGAAGAACTTCTGCGTCTGCAGAGCAACATGATTATTATGATGACTATAATTTTAAAGAAAATGTTCTTCCTTGAGCTGCAGAACTCCGCTGCATCATTCATCTCTCTTTGGGGTGTCTAACTCAGTGTTACCGTGTGTTTGACTATAACTCAAATTTATGCAGGAATATCCCTTAAAGGCACTTGTAAACAACACTGGGGAAATTTTTAATATTACTTTTAATGTATTTGGAGAGCATAAAACTTAAGATTTTTAGTCAATGTTTTGACTGGTCACTATGAAGCAGAGTAAGGAAGTCAAGAAAAGGAAAAAAAAAAAAAACCTGCATAAAGCGCAGCAAAATGAGAAAGACATCAACCGAAGTGAAGAAAACGTGCAGAGCCACCACTAACTGCACACAGCACAGACTGAGTTGTTCATGGCTGGTTGACAGGGACCTTATGCAGATGCTGTTATTTTCATCAACAAAGAAATGTTCATGTTTTCCTTTAGGGTGAGTAAAAATATGAAGTGTGACTGGATTTCTAATCCAAAGCAGGATAATGTGAAGACTTGGGTTTTTGGGTGGTATCTCAGGTTTGAAGCTTGTTAAATAAGGTACACAATATCACCCTGACTAACTAAAGTCATGTTGAAGGGCTTCAGAGGAGAGAGCTCAATTGCTTCTTTATCAAGACTTGTTGGGTCTCCTGTCATCTGGCATCAACCCCAAATGCTGTCAAATATAGTGGTCTTATTTCTGTTCGTGGTGCACAGTGCTCCATTTTTTACGTGATGCTAACACATGAACAAACCTGGTCTACTGTCATCTCCCAAAACAAGAAACGAGAGGAAAGTGACACTGTCCTCTGTTGTGGTAACACCACTCAGTCTAATTTAAAGGTTTCAACTGATGTCCTGGGTTAAATAACTGATTCAGTCGTGTAAGCTCTCTGACTACAGCTATACCAGAAATGCAAGCGAGGAACTTCTCATTTTATCAGAAGTTTCTAACACAATGACATGGATAAAATGGGTGATTTGCAGACATGGGACCAAGTCACACATGTCCAAGTCTCAAAAAAGTCTCAAGGCTTAACCTTCAAGTCTCAAGTAAGTCCCAAGTCATCTTTTCTTGGGCAAGTCAAGTCAAATCAAGTCAAGTCCTGTAATAGGTCAAGTCAAGTCAAGTCTCAAGTCTTTCATTTTTTGTCAAGTCAAGTTACAAGTTGTCAAAACAGTCAACTTGAGTCTAAGGCCACTTTTAGACGGAAACGGTCTCCATAGAAAACGGAAAAGTGCCGTTTCGTTTTCAGTTTTTATGCTGTGTTTACACAAAAATGCAATGTGGTTGAAAACGCTGTAATGTCCATGCCAGGGCGCTAGGTGGTGCGTGTCAGTGTGACCGTGCTCCCATATAGACCAACAACGCATACGTAGAACAACTTCCGTTCTACTTCCTAGAAGCACGCAGCACAATATGGCATGTTGTTGTTATTTTCAAGGAAGCTGTGCATGGCTACAATGTCATAAGCGTGAGCCGATGTGATCCAGGACGTCACAGGTTTGACTGTTTTCGGCGTTTTTGGACTTTAGACGAAAGCGGGACTAGCAGAGCGTTTACAACACTTCCACTCTGGAGGGGGTTTTCACTTTGTTACGTTTTCATCTCCTGAAAACGCAGTTGTCGTCTAAACGGACCCCCCTAAACCAAACTAAATTTTTCCGTTGTCTATGGAGACCGTTTCCGTCTAAAAGTGGCCTAACTCACAATGACTTGAGTCCACATCTCTAAACACTTGTAAGAAATTCATGCGTATCAGTAAAGTTCATGAAGAGTCATTTCGTCCTGCACTGCCTTTTCATAATTTGCCTTTTCATAATTTGAAACACACACACACACACACACACACACACACACACACACATCTACAGGTCTTGCCTCCCGCCTGTGTGGACGGAGTCCAACTCAGACCTGCCCTGCTCTAATTTGCTCCGCTGCAGTTGCAGGGCTTTTATCAAAGCCATGTGCTGCGTTTGATCCCTCTTTGTTGTTAAGCGAGCCTTGGGCAGAGCTCTAGGTTTGGGTCTTGGCATCCAGCTGGGAGACCATCAGACGTAGATAAAAAACAACCCATGAAGAAAATACGAGACGAGGGCAGAAACCATCAGGTGGATAAAGCCACAGTCACAGAGACACAAACAGCTGGACGGCATCCCGCTGGCCTGACATTCACCTTGGAAACTTTTAATAAACATGGATAAGCAGTTATTCAGGTGATTTTCTGGATGTGTGTTTGTGTGTGTGTAGATCCATGCGTGGGAAAAGTTCTGCGCGGGCCTTGGGCAAACGTGTCTCACTTTATCTGTTCTTTCTGCTGCGTGTTCCCTTTGGTTCCCAGAGACGAGGTTAGCAAAACACCTCAACAAGGAGACAGAGGAGTCAACCCGTAGAAGGACACAGCAACAGAAAGACACACAAATGAATGCACACAAGCACACACACACACACACCATCATTCCACATCTCATCCTCTCCCTCTTTTCTCCCCGTCCCTCTGGCCTCTCTGCTGGTTGCGTGCTTAAATCCCAGGGGCCTAAGCCCAGTGGAGCCAGTGGTGTTGTGAAGGCTGCGATGTATAATGCAACACAAACACGCAGCGGCCTGCGAATGCACCACAGTCCAGGTGGAATTCTCCATACCTCCCACCCAGAACCCCCCACAAACTCATGAGAGGCTGAGACTGAAAATGAGGGATCATTCTGAACAGAGGAGACGCAGGTTGTTTTCTGGAGACAGGAAATAAAGGCTAACATAAAAATTTCTAATACCACACACAGCTACGTACTGTCTGAGCTCTATGAAGTGACGGATTAAAAACACGGGTCTCTTCTCACTGACATTTACCAACATGCTTTTAGAGCTTTAGTCTGAATGAAGAGGCTTGAAGTGGCAGTTCAAGACTCTGAAAGCTGGTGATTGGCTGTTGGAGCTCCACAGGAAGTACTTCAGTACAGGAGCATGGTGCAGTCACTCGACTACAAAAATCCTGTTTCTGTGGATTGATCAGGTAATTATCTTGGACAATACTCTGTTTATTTTCTGGTTTCGTAAGACACTGATACTTAAAACCTGTCTGCCGGTTTCATCTTCATTTGGGTTTGTCCAGAGGTTTCACAGTGCTCATATTTGGTATTCATATATTTCGCTGCGCCATTTTTAGGACAAGATGTTAACAAGTGCTGCTTGATATGCTGTAGGAGAAGTAGCCTGTAATATCTTAAAAAATCACAATTGACATTACTTTCAGGAAGTTCTGTCTTACACCTCTACAGGGTAAGAGTCTGGACGAGCACTGACATTAGAAGAAGTTATTTTGTTAGTTCAGATCTTCCTTTTAAATAAGAAGCTAGCTAAGGTTAAAGCACGAAAAGAGAAATAGGGACTAGCAGAAGAGAAAGACCCGTGGGGTTAATACAGAGGCTGGACACATCTGTATGACATTTCAACCAATTCCTGCAAGCACACAGACACACACACAAATTGACACAAACTGTTGCAGCCTGTATTTGCCTCCATCATCTCTAATGTGTATTTATATGAAAATATCCTCCTGTTTGCCTTTCCTGCACTAAGCACACAGCAGAGGTACACAGGGACGGGTATATATAGCACAGATGGGAAGTGCGAGGAGGAGAGTCTGAGAAGCTTTTCTTTTGAGCGTCTGTGCGCAGGTCTCAGAGGACCTGCAAGCAACGCTGCAACAAGTCACTATCAAGTTATGACTTGACGCATGAACAATATTTTCATTAGTTTAAAGCAAACTGAGTCGAGAGATCAGGAAACGTTCAGGGCTGCCGGCAGAGAGCAGACACACTGCAGAGGTTTGAATTTCTCACAAAGAGGAGGGTGACTGAGGTGTGACCTGAGCTAACCCTCCCTGTCCCCCTCTGCAGTGGACAGATACAATATGTGAGACAGCCATTCACCTGTAGAGGGCACTATTCTCTCAGTTTACCTGCAGCCCCTTCCTGGACCTGCGGTTTATGTTTCTGGTACACTAAATCACAACAACACTGACTGTTTTTCTGAAGTGCCCTTAAAGAAGACGACAAAACATCCTGGTTTGTGATTTAATTCATATCTGAGTGTCATGTCCGTATTATCTAAAGCTTTCTCTCATGATAAACACAAGTCAAAAACAGTTTGGATTCTGTGTCAAACACCAATAATATGGTATTTTTCAAATCATTTGTATTTAATGGGAAATTTTGTCAAGACAAAAATATTAATTGCTGAATCTAAAATGAGAAATATATGCGCAGTTAAAATCTGATGCAAGCAACACATTTCAAAGAGGTTTGGACAGGAACATGTTTACCTCTGTGCTTCAACGCTCCCGAACTTTTTCACTTGAGCACCTGGACTCTTCTACTACAGAGCCATGCTGTTGTCTTAACTTTGTCTTTCTGAAATATGAAGGTCTGCTGTATATGTTATTGACTTTGTATTCGGTAATTAGCATCAATGGTACCGTCCCGTCCCATGTGAAAGCTTCCCATCTGACAGACAATCCCACATCCCCATACAATCACAGAGTTCGTTCCTCCTTAGAGATGACAACACAGCATCCATCGTTTTCAAAAAGAGTGTCACATGTTCATCCGCACACCACTGAACAGTTTTCCCATTTGCCTCAGGTCATATTGAACAAGCTGACGCCTTGAGGAGCCAAATCTTGAGTACTTTAACATGTGGATGCAGTGACTAAGACAATGGTTTCTAGAATTGATTTCAGACCCATGCAGTGATTATCACTGCAGAGTCATGTCCCTTTTTAATGCCCCGTTGCCTGGAGGCTCAAAGATCATGGCCGTCCAACACGGACATTCTGGTATAGGGATTCTCTGAATTGTTCAATGATATGTTCATGTTCACGATGAAATCCCTTAAATGTTGCTGCCTCTCAGTCAGGGATCTTTGAGCTTCTGTTGTGTTTTGTAAATTTAGTCTTCAGTTAATCTTTTGGTTATTATGTGTTTTAATTCATCCAGTGATGTTCAGACAGAGTTTTCTGTCATTTTAAAGTGGGTAATTTTCATGGACAGCAGCCAGCCCCTTGAGGCCAATAAAAGGGATATTACGTCATGAAATTAAATTAGAGTCAAACACACTGTAACACCAAGTTAGACACCCCCTTGAGAAATGAGTGTTGCCGAATGCTTGCTTCTCTAGTTATACCAACTTTAGTAACCGCAAAACAGCAATACACAGAGGTCTACATCGCCACACGCAAACCTCAACCAAAACGCCACTCTATAGCCACAAATAATGTTTAGAACAGCACCTAACTTCATCAACAGGACATATAGGGTCCCAGTCATAGTACTAGCCATCAAACATCTTTTTAGCTTTGCCTGATTTCTTTAGCAAAGAGACCAAACACAACTCACCCACTCTCCTCCAGCTGCTGCTTGTTTGTCGGGGAGCCCTGACAAGTCGATCACTGAGTGCAGCAGAGTTTCTCAGTTCAAGGAAGAACATTGATTACTTCATGGAAATACAATCAGATTGAGACACTAAGGCAGAAGAACTACTGCGTCAAAATGATTTTTACCTCATGGAAATGATTAACTGCACCATCAGTAAGTCTTTACTTTCACTTCTTAGCAGAGATGGGGACTCGAGTCCCAGTGTCTTGGACTTGAGTCGACTCGAGTCGCTGTTTTGACGACTTGTATCTTAACTTGAAAAAAGATGAAAGGCTTGAGACTCGATTTGGACTTTGAAGTTAAAGATTCTGGACTAGACTTGACTTGACTTGAGACATGATGACTTGAATGGCTTGAGTTTTGTTTATTTCATGGTTTCAGTTTTGATATAAATATGAAATCAATATTAATATTAATACCCAGAGTCATCCTCTATGGATTTACGAATGACCACTGCGAGGCCAAACGACGGACAGCAGAATGCAAGACATGCTGGACAAAGATTTCAGACAGCCAGACGACAACGTCAAACTTGGTCCGTAAGTGCTTGTATGCTAGCAGATTCTATCATGTTTGTCAGTCAGCTTAATATGATGTGATGACATTTAGCAAACGTTCACCACATGAGTTAGCAACAGCGGGATAAATGGGCTAAATGCCACACCAACTCACAATCATTCCGTTTTTCTTTTACTGATTCATCATACGTGTGTGAAACAATTAGCCATATTGTGCAGTAGCCATGTTAGACTCAGGCTGGCTGATCTGTAAGTGAGATCACTCTAATGGCACTAAACTCTTGATACTGGACAACTACCCAGATTTGATTGGGATAAACAGACAGCTCCAGTCTGATTGTACTTACAATATCAATCCGCACTGGCTGTGAGACTCACAGGCTTTCAAGCTACATGTTCATCCTCACATGCAGTGTAAATCAAATGAAGTGCTGAAAAAGTAAACTTTGCAACAATGAGGTAGGCCTACCTAAAGATTTGGTTAAAACTGAGTAACAAAAGGTTCTGAAGTTGATTAAATACTGTTTGAGATGGACTAAATGAAGTACTGGTTTAAAAACGGAGTGATTAGAAGCTAAAAACAAGATTAGTATTACTTAAGGAACAGATCATGAAGGCCCATGCTCTCATTTCTCTTTAGTTTGAATCCATGTATGTAACTGAATATCAGTAATTACAATGCAGTGGATAAATTGGCCAATAACATTAAGTGTCAGTTACTAATATCTTTTTTTTTTTCACTTTATTGAGATCAGATTGTGCACGTAATAAGGCAACTTGACTCGGACTTGCCTTGAACTATTACAGGACTAGACTTGACATAGCTTTTGACTTGACTTGCCCAAGAAAAGATGACTTGAGACTTATTTGAGACATGTGTGACTTGGTCCCATGTCTGCTTTTTAGGAGGCAAAAACTCAAAAAATTACTACCAATCTTTAAAATATTCCTGCAGTGTGTTCTTTAGAGGTTATAGGACAATGGGATTGGTAATAATTGGGGTGTGGACTCTGTGAAGGGTCGCGTGAAGTTAAAGAGTAATACAGATCAAATTGGCATCAAAGCGGAGTAACAGATAAGCCATTAAAGAGAATAGAGTGGATGTAAAAACTATCTGAAAAGTTCAATGAACAGAGTCACACACTGTCCCACTCTACTACAAGCTGTGTATCTATGTGTGTGTGTGTGTGTGTGTGTGTGTGTGTATGAGAGAGAGTGAGTGTGAGTGCCCACGCGTGTGTCTGGGTGTATTTATATGCTGCTGGCTCCAGTAGAGCTCATTTCCCCCCTTAAAATAACATACTCTGCCAACACCACAACCCTCACACACACACACACACACACACACACACACACACACACACACACACACACACACACACACACACACACACACACACACACGCAACCATGCAAGCATGTACGCAAGCATGCAGACAAGCACACACACATTTAGCAGACACACTTTCACACAAATTTGGGGAAAGAGGCATTAAGCCATGAAACTAATCTCCTCCATGAAGTCAGTGCCATGCCCTAAAATACTAGGAATCAGTTTGTGTGTGTGTGTGTGTGTGTGTGTGAGTGTTTGTGTGTGTCTGTATTATGTGATGCATTCCAACCTCAGTCCTAAGCCTGTTTTAACATCACCGTCCTCTGATTCTCTGTCATGTTTTCTATTGTTTGGTCTTTCAGGTGATGGAACAAACACTCTGGCAGCCATATTGGAGGTCTGAAGCTCCAGGGAGACAATGGCTGCAAACAGCTGATTGTTTCTAAATTCAGAACATAGCTGGGACTGTGAGTGCTGGTGCAGCGTACCTGTCACCATTCTTGTATTTAGGTAAAGTCATTGTTCTGGGGTTTGGTAAGACAAGAAGGAGAACGACGCTCATATCAGCTGTGGAAAAAATCTGTATCCAAAAACTCTTTAGTGGCCTTCAACTGTGTAAAAAGTAAAAAAGTAAGAAAAAAAGATTCATTGATGCATTCCAGGGTTTCCACTACATGTAAATGATTGTGATGCATCGCCATGGCAAAACAAAAGCCACCATGCCTTCAGAATTATAATTATTTTTTAAGATGTTTCAAATTTAAATTACATTGTATGAATGGACTCATATAAACATAAAGACTTTATATACGCACATTCAAGGACCATAACAAGAGTGTGGAATTGTACTCATGTAATGTGACACTGTTTTGCAAATAACTTACTTTTAAAAAGTTTCAACTTCCTGTCTGGCAGCAAGGAGTTAGCCTGGCTGGGCCATCCAGTTGTGTGAATCACTTGCCGTTCCTTCCCACAACAGTCTGAACTTTGGCCAATTGGGAGCGAGTATTAGAAATCAGAAAATAACCGGGCCAATCAGTGACTGTGTTTCCACTGTTCCCTGGACAACAGTGAAAGGCAGCCCCTGATTGGTCCATGTGTAGATGGTGACGTCTAACACATGCTGTGGGACTTTTCAAAGCGCCGTTCATTCAGAACGCTGTTGATTGTGCAGTTGACTTTGCAAAGTCTGCAGAAATCGTTTATATCCGCAGAAGACGTCGGATATAAACAATTTCTGCCGACTATTGGCCCAGTTTATTTCTGATTTCTAATACACGCTCCCCATTAAAAATACTTTAAACTTAAAAAAAAAATCCTGGAGGAAACTGTGCATTGTAGTATTTTTTAGCAATTCAAACAATCATGGAACTCTTCTAATGTGATGAAGCCCCACTCCCACTGGGTGCCCTGTGGATTAGTCAGTTGTTTGTCATTAAGTCAGTGAGTGAGGCAGTCAACATGTTCACCAATCAAGAGGTCAAGATCAAGGTGGACAGGGGACAGAAGCGGTCCAAGTGTGTGACTATATGTCAAACACTTGGACTGAACTATACTATATGTATTGTTCAGTCAGGACCACTTGTGTCAGAAGAATGACTTATTTACTTTAGTAGTTTAGTCTTTGGTGGTATGACCCTGTTTAAAGAGCTCCCTGTCCTTCCTCATGCAGACATAAAATACTTTATCAAACAGAGGGAACAGCCTCTGTTTCATGAGCATAAAAGAAAAGCCAAGACTGGGAGAGCAACAGCAAAGACCCCAAGGAGCAGAACTGAGTATCCATCAGTGACAATTGGAAACCCTATAAAAACCCATCTGTGATGATTCATGAGTTAATCTGAGTGAAACTGTGTCATTTCTGTTGTTAGTTGAAAATGCTGGGCAGAGGGTGACATCTTTGTTTTGGTCTGTTGACCTATCAGAGGCTGGATCCTGGATCATCTGACAAGTAACAGCACAGGCTTCTGTGTCTTAGCAAAGCAGTGACTGTAATGATTGTGGTAAAACAATGTCTTTAGTTGACACAGAAAATCAGAGTGATAAAGTAGACTTAATAATAAATGATAAGGAGTTATTACTTCAGTGCTGCAAATCCAGCTCAGCCAGAGATGTGTAGCATATTGATCACTGTTGAATCAAAATTTGAATCAGTTTCATTCTAAATCATGACCAAAAGAATTGAAATCCAATGAAATATCGAGGTTCTTGACAGCAACTCGCCCTGGGTACCACCAAAAATGACTCAATATGTTTGTCCAAAAGTTAGGGCTGCACGATTTTAGCCAAAAATAAAATCCTCATTTTTTTTTTTAATCTGAAAACTCGATTCTTTTAATGACAACTCCACCAAACTTCACTTTAAAAATTATTATTTTGTCCAGTAAGTGACACTGCAAAGGAAATGCACCAAAGAGAGAAGAAGAGTAGGGAGCCTGCACATTAAGGTTGTTTTGGCCGGACCCACGCAGGTGCCATAAAAGAGTTACGCTGTGTGTCACATGATCGTTTCAAGAGTGATGCAGATAGGCATCCACACAGAGATGAAATGGTAGTTGTTTACGGATTTATGCACTCTCCTACCTGTTTTCAAAAAGCACCGTTTACAGTCACCTGAAACACTGTTTTTGTGTGGATGAAACACCGATACGACAAAAAACTTTTGCATTTACTGCTGAATTTATTTCCGTGTGGACGGGTTGATACCGCCTTTAAACAGACTTTGCAGTGTGGAGTGGTTTGCTCTTTGTCCGAAACTGCGAAGCTGTACCAATTCCACACAAATGACTTGCTCTTGCCCCATTTAGCCATGAAATTATCGCTTTCTTTTACAAACGCCATGTTTATTTACACTGGTGTGTGCGGGAACTGGGGCACGCTCTCGCAGGAAGGGGGAGCCTACGGTGGCCTGGAAGCACGAGACATGATAGAGAGGAAAATCAATTTGATGATTTTAATTTTTTTAACATCTTCATAATCAAATAATCCAATTAAGATTTAAAATCGATTAATCGTGCAGCCCTACCCAAAGGTCACTAAAAGTTGAATGGAATAAATAAACAGACTACCTTCCATGGAGTAATGCTAACGGCACTGGAAAAAGAAAGATGTGGTGTGTATCATCAGTCAGACTGGAGGAGGACTACACTGAGCTATCGGCTAACACAGCATAAGAAAAATCATTCTTCATCAGTAATATGTCACCAGGTGTACCACAAGGTTTGTTACTGGGCCCACAATCATTTACTTGTTTAGTTCATTTTATTTATTTATATTCATTAATATCCTAAACTACCTGCCTGCTCATGCTGTTCAACTCTGCATTCATCAAACTACAAGGTTATCTTTGTCTGCAACAACTTGTTTTCGAAGCAGATAAAACTAATAAAACTCATGTCTTTTGCATCTTCTGTAACAGCAAGTTATGAAATCATGAATCAGTGGATAAAGAAGCAAACATTTCAACTTGTTTGGAGCTTTCAGCTGTGTCAGAGATAAATTTATGGGTGTTTTTATCTTGAATCTCAGTTTGTGACTGTGTTCAAACTATGATGAGCCTGCTTGTAAAATTGATTCATTCATGTGCACTGGGCTGGTTTGGACTTGCCCCATTAATACTTCTGCTTTTTATTTACACAGTTAACACACATGTATAAACTATGTGTTGTTTACAAGTCTGTATAAAGGACTCTGTGTATGAGGTTAACACTTCCAGCAAGGTTTGCACCTATCTGGTGTCCAGCCATCCCCGCAGAGCAGAATCCCTCACTCCTAAGACCTGTAATTTTAAGATTAAGTTTAGATTTGTCTGGATTAAGAAAGTTTGTAGGAGTACCGGACATATTTGTTTCTCGTCAAACCCAAATGAAGAATTTAATCTATCTTTAAATGTTCTTGATAATTGCTTACGGTCTAAAGTGAGCTCTACAAGCACTTATTCCAGGGTTTCACCCTCAACAGAGACTTCATTTTTAGTGATCTGTACCCCAGTAGTTAACACTTTGACAGGGTGACATGATTAAAACTAGAAAATGTCCTCAGCGAAAATTTCAAAGGACCACGGGGAGTACTACCGGAGTGTAATCTTTAGAGATTAAATTAGTACTAGTAGCATTGTGATATTATAGAAAGCAAACCTACAAAAAACATTAATTTTTCATGTATTTATTAGTGCCACAAATAAACGCAGCTGGAGCAGTACACGTTCAAAAAACTCCAATAACTGCTCTTTTATTTCTCTTGTTCAGTTGACTTTAATGTACAACTTTCAGTTTTTCGTGACTTACACGACTTCATATACAATAGAGAAAAGTAATAGCACACCAATCCTGATCAAACTGCACATTTTGATATAATTTGTCCTACAACTCTTTACGCTGTAGGACTAGTAGCAAATGGAAATTTGTCCGGAAGAGGAATAAGAAAAAGTCCACAGTGTAACAATTCTTTTAGAGCAATTTGATAAAAGATAAAACGCTGGCTCTCAATCAAAATCCTTGTTTTGTCTATTGAATAGGGACATGCTGTGGCGCTTATTAAACAATATCAATACTGGCATCTAGATTAAAAGCGGTGGATACTTAAGAAAACATGTTCATTCTTTAGGCTCTAGAGTCAAAGGATGTCTTTGATGGATCTCAGGGATGATGTTAAGTTATCAGTTTGTTATTGCGAGTTTGAACCCTGACACGGTGAGCAGGAGCAGAAGAATTTCTGCACTATAAAAACCTGCTGTCTATACACAGCTACTCACTGGAGAGATCGATAACTCTAAACAAAATGATAGTTTCCTTCTCTCTTCATTTTTGTAATTCAAATAAATATGTCATTCAGTTTAAAATGAATCACAACGCTCACATTTTGAGCTGCCTCTACAGACACAGTTAACACTGCAACACATAAGCGAAGTGGGGGGATTACAGACAGCGAGAATCACAAGTCACAACTCTCAAGAACCTGGGGATTCACATGCAGTCCCGTGATAACAAGTTGTCTTCAGCCACATCGGCTAACCATATAAGCAGTGGATTGTGTCCGTCCAGAGGAGGAAATCCACTTCTAGACTTATAAAATCAGCATCTTTTCATCCACAATGTCATTGGGAAGAAATGCTGTCTATCAAACTTTCACTTGTTTGTCCCCGCCCGTTTGCATGGTGTGAAAAACGATCCGTCTTAAACACGTGGTTGTTTTATTTTGTGTCTCTGCCCGACTTCCTTTCCAGCACGGGCTAATCTGTGTTGAATTTATGCAGCATGCCTCGGCGTACGGAAAAATAGAACTCTTGCAATCAGCTGCAGAGTCCGGGGATCTGCAGCGGAACGGAAAGAAGCCGGTGGAAATGACATGAAGAGGTTGGAGAAATGCTCACCATCCAGGAACCATGGATGTCTAAGCTAGGGCTGGGTAAAAAAAAAATGATTTAGACAATTGATTATCTCAAAAAGTTGAACACACACTGAATCTATGAAAGAATCTACAATATAGTTCTCCATAAAATTAGATGTACTGCATGTTTGTTTTGATTTGTTACCCCTCTATATGATGGTGTAAAACTGATCTACGTCACCACTTGACAATAGCCTTAAATTGATTTTGTCTCTGTCCCCCTTGATACAATTACATCCCCCTGCCCTCTCCCCTCTTCTCTCTGTATTCCTCTCCAACCCAGCAGCAGCGGCATGGTGGCTGTCTGGCATGAGTCTGGTCCTGCTCAAGGTTTCTGCCTGTTAAAAGGAAGTTTATCCTTGCCACTGTTACTCATGTTAGATGAGATGGGCCAAAACCCATCTTAGGTTGGTTCTTGATAATTCATCAAACAATGAGCGTGGTCTAGACCTGCAAATGACTGTCTCTGCTCTGAATCAAACAGAAGCTGTGGTATACACTTCCAAATGCAGTCAGCTGTTTGAATCCATTGTCGCTCAGAAGCGCAAGTCCTCTGTCACAGGCACCAGGGGATGAGTCATGTCGCCTAAAAGCCCCGTCCACCTTTCTATAGATCTGTTCAAGCTGCCTCCTGTCTTTCAGCGGTCCATGGTGTTTCATCATCATCTTCAGCCGTTCTGGTGATAATCTGGTCATCCCGAGTTATCCTCCAAAGCTCTAAGTGTGTCGGGATAATTGCGCACACTCTGGTGACAGGAGGGCTCAAAATAACATTCCACAGCTTTACCTCATTCATGAGTGAGTGTGTGTGTGAGTGTGCGAGAGAAAAAAGTGCCAGGCGCCAGCGTGTACTGTAATGCCAAGGTCTCTGCTTTCCTTTCTCTGGTTACCCATCAGCTGCCATCAGCACTTCACCATGGAGCAGTCCAGGATGTATACATGCATGTTCAGATACACACAAAGACAGAGTCAGATAAAAAGAGACGCCGGGGAGACTCCATCCATGTGTAGATGTCATGCTGTCTGTGAGCGAAAGATTCAACTGCTTTTCCTTCAGCAGGACCCCTCACTGATCAAAAGACAACAGCTGATTGATGAGCATGTTTAACCATGAACTAAAGTACCACTTATAGTAAGTTTTTCTTTTTGTGCATGTAAACATCATATCTCCATTTCAGAACCAGGAAGGAATCCTGATCTCTGTCTTGAGAAACTCTAATTTGCCAACTTGTGAACTCCAAAAGAAAACAGGCACCAGCGGCATGCCTATGCCTCACCCTGTTCTTAGACATCTGCCAACTACCTGTGCATACTTAGCCTCTGCCAACCAGTGTTGTGCTAGTTACTAACGAGTCAATCACTGAGTGCAGCAGAAAATTTATGATCATTACTTCATGAAAATGCAATCAGACCGAGACGCTGACCCAGGAATCCCACTGGATCTGGAACGGCTCTGCTCTGCTCTTGACCGGCAGGCGGATCAGATCTGCAAGCATACAGCGCCCACCGGATCCGATCCGCTGCCGCTATCGAAGGAGAAGCCCTCGTGAGATTACTGATATTTCTCGCGAGACTGGACGAAATCTCAGTCAACATTTCCAATGTGATGAAGGCCCCCGATAGCCTGCTTCAGTAACTAATGTAGTGCCCTAGTAATTTGAGTTCATTCTTAAAGTTGTTTGATTCTGTGATAGCTCTTATTTTTCTTGTTGATTCAGTAAGATATCACCTCAAAATCTCAGGAATGTAATTTTTTGGTTAAAGTTTTCAAATATCCCGCAGTTAAGGCAGACCTTGAACGCCTCATGTCCGTTGGTCCCTGTATTGCGTGATTGACAGGCGTCACGAGCGTATCGCCAATCATTGTCAAGTTTGGGTGAGGAGTGGGACCTGTCAGTTTTTGGGAAGGCGGGGTTTTCATCTCGGTGAGAGAGAGCGGTGATTGACACAGCGGAAAAATGCTCCGCCGATGCCGAGAAAAGGCGAAATAATAGTGTGAAAGTTTGTTCTTTCGTTGTTAAGTGTTAAATGAAGACCCAACGGGATTGAGGCTCGGTGTGTTGGATCGCGGCGGGGGCGTGTGGTTGTTTCGAGACGTGCGGGTGAGTGTTGTTGGTAAATTCGGCGAGGTTCGTAAATATGCTATATGCTAAATTGTTAGCTGACTAGCATCGACTGTGCAGGAGCAGAGGAAGACTGGAGTCAGGATGCACGTGCGAGGTCGGGTGTTAATTTCAAGTTCCTGAGTGAGTATCAGACTGCTTATTGTTACCGCAGGCACGTTGTGAGTGAGTACGTGTATGTGAAGTTTTGTTTTTTGTGCCGTCAGTGTGCTTCGGATACCGGCCGCTCGTGCTGCGACAGTAGAGGTGCTCCGGACTTGCCGCGCCTGGGACTTCGGCATGCGGACCGACTTTCTCCTTCCGTTCTGTGTTTCCGTGATGGTTGTAACAACACACTAAATTTGCAAGTAACCGTGAGTACAAACGACTTGGAAATCACACTCATACAAGGGCTCCAACAGCGCGCCAACGTACGTGGTGCCACAGACTGATTTATAAAATCCTGGGTATTAAGAACTATTTTGTTTCTTCTTTTTATTTCTTTATCCTGTGAATAAATGTGAACATTTGTGAATTTAAACGTGTAGTTCCTGTTAATTGATGTTGTGCACATTTGGGGAGCTATCTTAAGACATGCATGGGAGTTAACACTCACACAGACACATCACACAATTCCCTGGTTTATATTCTGTAGCATCACCAATTCCTCTCCCATGCAAAATACTGTGTGTATGATCCGGTAGGTAATAGTATTTAAAAAAATAGGAATTGAGTGAGGGGGCTACACTAATATATATCCAGCAATAGCCTGCACCTCTACACTCGTCCACATGACACTCATGGCATCATTATTTCCTTGGTGAAGTGCAACAATGGTAGATCCTCAAAAGAAAGTATAAGTACATTTTCCACCACCACTCCACTCTGCATAAACATATGCTTTCACAGCAGACATAACTCAGCTCTCTCCTCAGTGTAGGGTTTGGTTCAGTGTCAGAATAAGCACCGGTTTGGTATCCTGGTATTGCTCTTTCTCTCACTTCATATATTTATATATAAAACTGAATTTCTGATTGCGTGTATGACTGTGTGTGAGTCAGAGATAGATAGTGTCTGAAAGTGGTGGCCATTCATTTGCCATAAGTGAGGTAAATACTTAATGTGTGGCACTGTTAAGGACAGATGTCAACATACAGGCTTAATCAAAAAGTTCCCACACTCACAGGCAGACCTGAAGCAGCGTGCAGGTGCAGCAGAGAAAGTCAGAGTGGAGCAAGAGGAGGAGGAGGAGGAGGAGAAGAAAAAGGGGGAGGGCGATGACTGACAAACTAATGAAAAGTAATATGCAAATCCTTTTTTCCACGGCTGGACACTAAACATGACTCAGCAGCCACAGAGATTTGGCAAAGCCATCACATCCTGGCTGACGGGCTAAAGGTGACAGGCACAGACAGAGCTGCAGGTGAGGTAAACAAACAGTCCGGTTCAGGCTGTGGTTTCAAGTGACGTAAGAACAGCTGAGACGTATTTGAGCTGTTCTGAGTCACTCTCAAAGCATGTGTATTTTAGTAAACCTTTTATTTGTGAAACGGTATTATTCTGTCATATTTCTTAAGTACTGATAATTAACATCTCTACAACTAACAGGTATGTTTAAAATCTCCCTCTGAGTATTTTCAGAACTAATAAATTAAGGATTGTTTCCACAAAGTGTCAAAAAATAGGGCCTGCCTGTCATAATTTCTAAAAGGCCGAGGTGACATGTTTGAAATAACTTATTTAACAAGCATAGCGGTCCAAAAGCCTGGAGGTGTTTAGATTACAAAGGAAAGAGAACGATTAAAATACAGCAGGCAGGGGCCAGTGGATTTTTGGCACTATCTATCAGTTCTTTCCAAACTAAAGAGAGACTTCAACTTTCGTAGAAGTTTTTACATCGTGAAGTTTGGTGGATTGAAACATACATGGAGTCTGACTTTAATGAAGGTATCACTCTTATAGTGACGTTTAAACAACAAAAGAGTCAAATTTAATCACTCAGTGAGGTAAAAGTGAAAAAATTAGGAGTTATTTACTCATGAAAACATAAGTAATATTGCTAATGGATCTGCAAGACCTTTGTCACGTCAAGGAAAATAACTACGAGGGTGTTGTAGGGATGATTTGGTTTTGCTTTGACATCTGTGCTATTTTCCTGGCCGAAGAAATAATTCTCGTCTTGTGCACCAACAAAAGGAGATGTGCAACAAAATTTAGATAAACCTTCCTCCTGTGTTAGCTTTTACTACGCACCCACTATGTTAACGGTTTTGATCTGTGTCTTAAATCAGCTGCAAGTTACACTGAAACAGTTCCCTATTTCCCAATTTGGTTCTCATCTCTAGGTTACCTTGTTAGGCTTCATTATCCATGAAAATATTGCTGGTAATATTATTTGTTGTGGGTCTCTGGGCCTTTCTTTGTCAGGATACCCTCATACAGACATCTGTGCTGAATTGATCTCACATGTCTGGACATGTCCGTTGTTGTTTTTTGTGCAGGGAACAAACAGGCAAAATGAGAATTTCCTGAATCTCACATGATTTGAAGAGGATCTGACTGTCAGTGTGTCACATGACATTGCACTTACGATTTCAGTATTTGCTCTGATTATTGTTTTATAATCTAACCAGGTTATCAGGGACCCTAACGTGATAAGTGCCATCATTTTAATAAGAGCATTTTATAATTTAGTCATTTTAATTTTTTATTTTTATTTTGTTGAACTAGAGGTTCCTGACAAAGTCAAAAAGTCTTGATGCAAAAAAGCTCATTTATGTGGTTCTTTCAAGTATTTAAAAACAAAAACGGGTCGGTGCAGACCCCAAGACAGGAGGAGGGTAAAAGAGCTGCTGGAAACCTGTGGAAACCATTTATCTGACACCAAAATGACCTCTCATGAGGCAAAAAGCTAATCATTATTCAGGAGTTTTCGGGTGGCCAATCAGAATTTAAGGGCCATGGCCACCTCCTGGATCTGCCCCTGTACACAAGATAACACACTTTCACTCTCAACCTCCCTTTGGTTCCACCTGCATGTTAAGCTGCTCCCTCCCCACTTGTTTGTGTGCAGCCCCCTCTCTCCATTAATGCATGTTTACTGGGTTCTGATTGTGCATGTGCCTTTATAGCGTGTTCATGAACAGAGGGGGGAAAAATGAATTTCCTTCAGGATTTATTCAGTTTATCATCATCTTCTTCTTTCTTTCTTCTGCCTTTGAACACTTTAAATAATGGATGACTTAAAGATGTATTAAATACAGTTTTTAAGACAATTGTCCCTGTAGTAAACAATGCAGAGGACTTCTCTCTATTGTTCTCTGTCCTTTGACCCTGAGTGTACCTGCTGCTGCACGGAGGTAAAACTGCTGCTCTAGGATTTGCTGAAGTGTTGAGACACAGTCCGCACAACCTCGCACAGATTTTTCCAAACAGTGAAACCCCGTGGAACCGACTGGCAGCTCAGCAGCCTGCCTGTACATGTCTGCGCTGTACTGCTGTCACCACGCCTTCAGCCCCAAACAGCACAATTACCCTGCACTCAGCGACAGAGTTCAAGGTAGGCAGTGCTGTTTGGCAAGGCTGTGATTTGATTTATTCTGATGAATCTGTCACCAATATCAGTTAGGCTGTCTGCAGCGATCCGTAAACATAAACAGACAAGGCTGTAGGTATGTTTTTATAAATCTCACAAAGGAATTTACACCAGAAGGAAAATGAAGACACACATATCAGCATTTTAAGCAGCTTTGAAAGATTATTAGCGAAGGGAAATGTTTTATATGATGAAAATAAGTAGTTTTGTAAAGGTAGCATGCATTTTACACCAGCCTTGATTCCCTGAAGGAAAGCTAGATGGTCCTCCTTAAATGATGAGTGCTGCTTGTAAATTTGCTAAAACTATGAGGGATGAATGGCAGCAGAAAATGGAGCGGAGCCTGTGGAGGAATGCAGAAACCCACCTAACCACCTCCCACAGGCTGCTGGGAGAGCAGGCACACACATGCGACCCAACCAACCGGCCCCAGGAAGAGGTGGCACTGTGCAGCTCTGCTACACAGTCACTCTGTGTGTTTGCCTCGGCCGGGATTAAGAGCCGCTGAAGTCCGACAGACTGAAAATTTTAACATCTCCTCCGAACAAAAAAACAAGAATGGATGATATATGAAGTCAACCTCACCAGCGTTAACCGTTCTGATTTATTACCATTTTCTTTTCTGACTTGGTGCATTTGCAGGATCAGGGTTCCCACTGTATTGTAACCATCGCTCTCCAGGACTTTTCCAGGACCTTGTCAGTCTTATTCCAGCTGGTAAACTAAAAGGCGTCATTCTCACACCCAGAAAGGGGCAATAGATGTATGTAGTTTTAACCACCGTGACCCGATCATCATCAAACTCTCCCAACAACTGGTCGGTAAAACGTGCACTTCATGTAAAAGAGGCTACAGTCCATGTTCTATCAGACCTGACATGATTTGGTGTGTGTCATTCCCCCACATTTCCTGTCCCTGCCATAGTACGTCCAAATCAGTACGGACAGCGTGGTTTTGCCTCCCGTCATTGAAGGAATTTAACGTCAAATGACTCTCGGTATTCCTGGGATTTTCTCCATTTCCTGAAACCTGCATTTGCTCAGTAGCGTTTTGCGGAAGAGTAGCTGTGATCGCGGGTGAGCCACGCAATCTCCATACGCTCACCGGCTGTATCAAGTGTCAATCATAGAAAACATGAACTTCCTAATAACTTTTAACAATGGAAAAAAGAGAGGACTTGAGCACAAACCAGTCTTACATGAACTATATGTCAACATCGCAACCAGGGGGGAGAAAAATGTATGTTTCATGAGGAGGCGGGATTTATGACCTATACTGCAGCCTGTCACCAGGGGGTGCTGTTCTAGTGGAGGTTTCACTCAGCAAGGAGGCAGATGGCGTCCATTCTAGATACAGTCTATGGTCCCCTGCTAAACACACATTTGAAATCCCATGTCTAACCTTGTGTTGTTCTGTGCAGCACAAGCTAACTTGCATGTTAGCGACTAAACCAAACATGCTGCCCATTTCAAATTAGCCGACTTTTACATCCACACACTTAATATAAATGACCATAAGTAGCCAGTAGTTATTCCTATTTCTACATTTGACCCTGCAGGTACAACTATTTTACTGAGGAGGGTTTACAGCCTAGTCTTTATAAGATTGTCCGTGAGGGACGGTTGCTGTTTGATATGATTGGGACCACCATTCGGTCCCTTTAGATGACAATATCATCTGTTTTGGGGAGCTCTGATATTCACTGAGAAGAGTGTTTGAAAGATTTACCAGGACATTTTGCAAGTTCACTCATTTTTTCATGTGACTTCCAATGAAACTGGAAAATTGGTCATCTGTTTTCCAGGTTTTTCCAGGATGCACGGGAACCCCAGGGCTGTGCTCTAAAACTGACAGTGGTTTCATTCCTCTATATGCAGTCAGATAATCAATAATTTAAGACGATGGAATCAGTCTGATTTGGATGCAAGTCAAAAGTTTATATTAAGTTTATATTTTTATGATATAGCACGTAAAGTTTAAAGGCAGCGCTTATTTTTTCTAAAATGTGTTTTAAATATTTTAAAATATTTTGGGGCTTATTAAGACTAAACAATAAACAGGGCTGTTTACTGACAAAATGCTGCATCTGTTACCTATTTAAAAACCTCTGTCTTCAGGCTGTGAATGCATTATATTATTGGTCCCACCTGCTACTGAACATAGGCTAATAGACGCAGTGTTCTATCCAAGAATGCAGGGATCGGTCCTTTCTGCATCTTTCCTGCGCGGACATCGTGAGTGGCTTTTCAGTGGGAATCTTCGCGGGGGGATGTCGGTGCTGGTAAATGATTACGTCTGAGTGTGTATGAGTATGTGTGGTGGTTAATGTTTAACCCGGGCAGCCACTGAGCTGCAGAAAGAGGACAGATGATGAGTGGATCTGAAGATGAGGGAGAGCAAGAGGATTCAGGAATGATAGAAAAAAAAGAGGGAATAGAGAGTGATGTACGTTGTCAGTTGATGAACGTATAGTGCCAAACTTACAGCCAGTTGCTCGCGTTGGCCGAGAGCAGCGCGCAGCAGAGCATCAGGACGCACCGCAAAACATATTCCTCGGTCATCTCGAGAGGGAAGGAGGGGAGGTTGATGAAAGCTGAAATAATTCCGGAGTAAACAGGGGGTCGGCGGTAAAACTGAAGCAGCAGCACCAGCAGCAGTAGAGAGGTCTCCTAATCCATAGTCCCGCATCCAGTGGATCATCCACCGGCAGAGACGCGCAGCCTCACGGTCCGTCCTGCCGCTCCGCACTCAGGAGGGACGGGCAGAGGAGGCAAAAAAAAGGGGGGATACTAAAAATACGATTAAAACTCTGGAGCCGCTCGGACTGAATCAGCCCCTTCTTCTTAATCAGCGTGTTTGCTTTCCTACTCTGTCGCGCGTTACAACCAGCCAAGAGAGCGCGTGGAGCTGCAGTCAAGTCAAAGCCAAATGAATCTTCCTCCTTCTGAAGCTTATCTTTAGGTCCCGCTCTCAAACACGCGAGGTTCTCCTGTCAGCACGCGGCAAACTCTCTAACTCTTCCCCCCCACACACATGTACGCACTGAGCGTAAATACGCACGGGTCCTCCTCATTCACCACCGTCTCTCGGTGCGTCTGGCTGAGTGGAGATGTGTGAGCTGACTTTAGTGTAGGGGCGGTACGAGGATATAGAGGTATGGCAGCGAGATGGGAGTTTTTGGGGATGGAGGAGGCGGGTTTAGAGCGCTGCTAAGGTGGTGTGTGTGTGTGTGTAGGGACGGGACAATGTGTGTGTTTTAGAGGTCTCCTGGGAGGATGCAATAGCACAGCCATTCACCAATGCCCTCCCCAGCCGCCCTCCGCTCCTTTCCAACACACACATAAACACGCTGTCTTTCACTGACACACATACAATCCCCTCTAACCGCACACACACTTCTTGGCAGCAGCTCTCTCCGCCTGTCACACACTCAACCAAATATTCTGTGGTCAACAGGCTATTTAAAGCTTGGCTGCAAAACTTCTGCATTTAGAACCAGCAAATCCCAATAATATGACAAATGTCCGCTTCACTGTATTGATTGATGAAAAAGTTGTAGCAGGATAATAAGGTGAAACAGCCGCGCTGGCCTCGTGTTAAACCACCGAGGACTCCGATGACTCACCTGATCCTGGCGAAGAATTAGCACTGAACGCTGAAAAATTGTACTATATTTACACAACAATAACAATTTAAAGGAGTAAAAACACTTCGTTTTCAAACAGGACTCCACACTGCCAGGGTCCATCAATACAAATTACTTTTTTTCAAATCTACAGAACTTTATTTTTAACTCCAGTGAGAATACCAAAGTTTCCAAATTTACCAAAGATGTCAGACTGAATTATGTGGAAAGGTAAGGTCTATAAAAAGATGCACAAACATGTGGGGTATCCTTTTTTGACATCCTTCAGCTCTAAGAAACATAAACTTGAGAGGGAGGTTTGAATGCTCTTTCAGTAAAGGAGGGCTGAAAATGGAGAAAGAGGAGAAAGATGAGGATTATGCTTTCATACATTATTAACCAGGTTTAAAAGTCAATAAAAGTCATGTTAGGTTGCCTCTGTTTTAAAGGGATATTCCGGTGTAAATTTAAGTCAGAGTCGAACACAACGTGACTTCGAGTTACACAGCCCCTTGAGAGATGAATGTTGCCGACTGCTCAACCAAAAAGCCACTCTATAGCCACTAATAATGCTCAGAACAGCACCTAACTTCATCAACAGTGCATATAGGGTCCCAGCCATAGTACTAGCCACCAAACATCTTTTTAGCTTTGCCTGATTTCTTTAGCAAAGAGACCAAACACAACTCACCTACTCTCCTCCAGCAGCCGTTTGTTTGTGGGGGAGCCCTGACGAGTCAATCACCGAGTGCAGCAGATCTTTTCCATGAAGTAATATTCATCATAATAATCATTTTGCACTGCAGACAGTTCTATAGTAGTTCTTCTGCCTTAGCATCTTAGTCTGGTTGCAACTTCATGAAGTAATGATCACAAATGTTCTTCCTTGAGCTGCGAAACCCCGCTGCACTCGAATAATCGTTATTCAATGCTTGGGATTTTTTTGTTTTTTGACCTTCAATGCTCGATAGCTAGAGTGTAAGAAATGCCAGGAAAACACTGCATGGCAGACATTGAAAGCGTAAACTCATTGTATTCCCCTGATAATCTTGGTATCTGCGCTGCAAAAGTGTGATTGAATATGCATGCGTTTTGGGCATATGTAGTGAAAATCGGTTGTTGGAGCAGAAGCACAAAGACAACACAAATAAGAACAGAGCGCCAGTGAAAAATATGGACATTTAGAAAAAAAGACAAAACTTTTTAAATCATGAGCCCCCCCAAAAAAAAAAAAACAGGCGCTAAAATCAGAGAAATGTCTCCTTTTTCCAGCAGTTTTAAGAACTAAAAACTGGAGCTTTGTTTCACTGATAGTCTGATGTGCCTTTGTGGGTGTCACAAATAGATTTGAATGAAATCTGTTTCAATGAAACAGACATATTGACATAGAAGTCTCTTTGTGACCACATGAAAAGCAAGAAAAACTATTTACAAGACTCTTCCACTGAAATAGTCTTATTTAAGTAAAAGTGATGTGGTAAAATGAGTCAAATCAGTAAATAATATTTAAAAAAATCTGTGAGAATGTAAGAATGTGTATGTTGACAGTGAGCTGCAGGATTTCAGGGAGTGTGTATGAATCAATACATTTGAATGCAATGGTGCCATCATGACAAATTTAACGATCTATTCAATATAATTCAGCCTTTAAGACGCCAGTGCAGAAAATATGTAGTATAATATTGTCAGTGCAGATCAAGAGAGTCCTGTGACCCTAAGGCACATTTCTCAGCGACAGAGGGATTAAAAAAAGACCGTTTTTTTTAAAGTCGTTTGAACAAAGGACAGCTGGTTTTGGTCTCAACCTGCAAATGTGGGGGAAAAACAGACTGAAGACTTCAGCAGCAACCTCTTCTCTCTCCACTCAGGCTGAGTCTAAAGTCCTGGTGTGTGTTTATGTGTGTGTGGTGTTGGTGGTTGAGGTTTGGGTTCTGTGTGCGACTGTGTAGTCTAATCTCATTTCACTTGTTGGGTTTTAGGGAGCTAAGAATACACGATGCTGGGACAAGACGCTGCAGCTGCACCGCCAGCTGTGTGCAGTGTGGCTCCTGGCTGCCAGACACACACACGCACGCACACCCACACACACACTCACACGCACGCACACTCATACACACTTAAAAACCGTCTGTATCAGTAAGTAAGCCAAGTCATCCGTCTGATTTTGGATACTTAAAGATAAGATAAATGTGCTCTGATCCCTGCAGGGAGATCTTTGCAGCAGCCAAACTAAATGAGTTGGGCCGTGGAAGAAAGTGGTTTACGGGCCCAAAATTAGAGTATCATCTAAACAATGAAAACAGCTAGTGACAGTGGGCTCTGAAGTCTCTCTTCTTCTGAGTGGAAAGTCTTTAGGTCCTTCAGAAAAAGCCACAGAGTGGAAGCTCCTGGACAGCAGAGCAGAGCTGCTGTGGGAACCTGCTGACCTACATTCAACTTGGACAAATTCTTCCAGAATTCTGCTCCCATGAAGGTGTTCCTGCTTCACAATGAGATAGACTACACCTGCATCAAGCTCAAGGTGTGAGCAAAACCCCACCAGGCATGGTGGATATGAGGGGGGTTCTGCTGCTGTGAGGACTTTGGCATCTGAAGTAAGTGACATCTCTGAGTGCAGACAGGTTCTGAGAGGTCACCTGCATCAGCTCTGCTGCTGATTGACCAACAGAGGGAGGAAGTGAGTAAAGGAGCTTGTATGTGATTAGTGAAACATCAGTCCTTAAACTATTTTACCATCTTATACAGGTGAGGAAAGAAGAGTGAAGATAAATGAGTCAAAACATATTCAAACATGACACTTTACTGCAAGCTTCCAGGAGTTTTCAAAATTAACACTTTTTAGAATAGAATAGAATAGAATAGAATATTCCTTTATTGATCCCCCATGGGGGAAATTTTTTTGTCCCAGCAGCATCACAGACAAGACAGAAAGTGCAAAATGCAGTTATAACAATAATAAATTTTAATCAAATTTATGTTTTTTTTTTTATGGTAAAAAAAAAACGACCAAATTTTGAATTCTATATTTGACTGAATATAGTGCAAAATAACACCTCAGATGTTGAATAACTTTACAGTGGCCATGAAAATATATGTTTATTTTTAGAGTTGGGACGAGGACATGTTGACCATCATGCTGCATCATCTGTTCTTTTGACAACCCTCTGTAAATGACCACCAGTTTGTACAGTTTTGAGATGTTTTCCCATTCTAGCCTGAGTAAGAATTTCAGCTCAGAAGTTGGATTTTTGTTTCATAATGTGCCAAAGGTTTCCAGTAGGTGACAGGTTGGGCCTCCAGCCAGATCACTTTAACACCTGGACTCCTTTACTATTGAACCGTGTATGAAGACCTTCCCTTAAGGAGCCTTATGGGGCATTCACACCAAGCGTGAGTCAAATCATTCGTGCAAATGAATTACATGTTAAGTCAATGCAAAGATGCGATTAGACGCTCGTACTACTCTGGCAGCACAAATGACACGAATTGTGCTGTGCGAATCGTGTCAATTGAGCAGATGTGAATTTGCAAGAGTTGAAAATATCTCAACTTGAGCTGATATTCGTGTCATGACAACCAATCAGCATGAAGCCTCTTGGGAGACGTAGAAAACAGACCAGAAGATGTTCACTGGTGTGAAAATTTATACACAAATCTTGTTACTCACAGTAGACAGATGGACGGACGCTCTGCAGCTGGGATAGAGCGCCTGTAATTGGTATCCTGGAGGGATATCCTTGTACTGACCCTCACCAACAGGTCGTCAAATTGCGTTCGGTAACCTGAAATGCAGCTGGAAATGGCCTTCATCGAGGCGCTTCCCTCCTCTCTCGTATCCACAGCTTATTTTCAAATAAAAACAGGAACGAAAAGGAGCTCACCTGGAGGAAAGTAAGTGAGGAGGTCGGATTATCTGCTAAATAGTAAAAGCCATTCTCTATAACTTGATCCTGCCAGTTGACTTGGTAAGGAGTACGGTTGAAATTAGCGTAAGTGGCTATCCACGGCTTTTAAGTAGTCTGTTGACGTTGGAATCGCGCTAATAAAGTGAGCAAATACTATTTATTTACGTATCTAGATTTGTGCAAATGAAGCGAGTGGATGATTTTACTTGCGTTTAGTGTGAACACCCCATTAGTCTGGATGCCTCCATATGTTGCTTCAAACCCCATTTGGTTCTATGGATGATTCTCCTCTTCGCCTCAGTCAGCCTGATGTGGACCAGAGAAGCTCCTGGAACATCTAACATGGATTCCCTTTTCCATGGTCCACTTTGGACTTATATAAATCCTGGTCTACAGTGAGAAAGTGTGCCCATATGCAGTGGTTTGTCAAAGTGGTTTTTAGCCTCTGAAGTGATTTCCTCAGCAGAGTCACATCTGTTCATAATGCAGTGACCCATGAAGGCCTGAAGATCATGGTCATCCACCACTGGTTTTTGGACTTGTCCCCTGTGTATGGGGATTTCTCCGGATTATCTAAATCTTTT